CCCCTGTTGGCAAGCTTCTCTCTGATCCTTTGGGTTTACTTTGCCCTGGGGTATTTCCGAGCAATTGAACTTGCCAAGAGCGCCACCTGGTGTTCAGGAAACAAGAGGGTAAATAAATCTTGTAGGTTTATCGCCAGCAGGTTTCTGCATCACAATACACAGGCTGTAAACTTTAGTTCCAGAGTCACTTAAGAAGGTCTTTTACTTTTTATTTCATGTGATGATGAAGTATGTGGTCACACAACTTATAATATTCTAGTGGAATGTCAGAAAAAATAAAGGCAAGCCAGAGCTGATCTCCACATCGCACCCTTTTCTGTTCATTTCCCCTCCCGAGGCAATCTGACCTGTAATAATGATTGCACATTGGAGTTTCACCTCATGTGGTGGCTCTGCTGCCAGTCAGCCACCACAGCCGATTGCTAGGAAGGCAGCGATTGCCTCTCAGTAAAGAGGATCAAACCACAGCGTTTAGCTTTGTCCTCCCGCAGCCCAATGAGACGTGATGCTGGGTGGGCCTTGGGCTCACAGCTGGGCACCACGTTTGCCGAGACCCAGCGGCTGTTTCACGTTGACTTTCTAATTTACTTAAAAACCCTATCAGCTTCGGGGAAATAGGAGTCTCAGAGCTTTGGAACCGTCAGAAGTTTTTGTCATAAAGACAAAACACTAACTTTAGAGTTAGTTTTGCTAGATAGCATATAACCTTGACTTCAGAAATCCCAAATGAAGTGTACTCCCCATCTACCTAAATGAGGGAGACAGCATTTAGAGGTGGACCCAGAATCACCAGCTCCGTATTAGGGTATGAAGTTTGCTTTAAAGGGGAAGAACCTAATCAATAGAACAGAAAACTATTTCTTTGACTGAGTGAACGACTCAGATTTGGGAGTAACAGAATTCTTAAAAAGTATTTAGGCCGAAACCGGTTTGGCTCAGTGGATAGAGCGTCAGCCTGCGGACTGAGAGGTCCCGGGTTCGATTCCGGTCAAGGGCATGTACCTGGGTTGCCCAGTGGGGAATGTGCATGTACCCAGTGGGGGATGTGCAAGAGGCAGCTGATCGATGTTTCTCTCTCATCGATGTTTCTAACTCTATCTCTCTCCCTTCCTCTCTGTGAAAAATCAATAAAATATATTTAAAAAAAAAGTATTTAGCAGGTTAAAGTGAAGACTTAGTGACAAATTTAATTTCAATATTCTCTATAGCTAACCATATTTCTTCCATCATTGCTTGAAACTGACCAACTCTTGATTTTACACCTAAATACTTCTCCATGCCGTCCTCCATCCCACTGCCTTCTTCCTCCCATCTGTGTTGCCCGCAGAGAATCCATCAAACACTTCTCAGATGTTGGCTGGCTTACAAGCTGGCGTCCCAGGTGCGCCACCCCACCTGAACCAACAGGTGTGTTTTCAGGGACCACACGGACAACGTAAGATAGGGTCGCTGCCCTCAAAATTCTCGCTATGTCCCTCACATTCACTCTATTCCTGTGGAAGAGCGTAGTTCTCCCGGTAGAATGGGCTGCTCTATTTCCTGGCATTTTCTGTGTTTCTTCTCTTTTCAACTCTTTCCATCCTCTTACCAGGCCAACTTGGCTCACTAGAGCAACTCGGATGTCATCTCCAAGGAACATCCCCTGAAGCAGGGCCCTGGGCTGTCCCCCGATGTCCTTAAGGCCCATAGCACCTGGTAGGAACTTTGGCAGCACTTACCATATGGAAATTCCCCTGCCTTTGTCTCCTCCCCCAGCAGGCTGTAAAGCTACGGGAAGACTTGGACTATCTTATTTACTTCGTAGGCTCAGAACCTTGTACAGTTTTGGCTCAAAATGTGTCACTACATATATTCAACATAATACACACATTTAAAATAATTCGTATTTATTAAATACTATTTTTCAACTTCACACATGAGAAATATCAAAACTTGTGAACTGTCAACCAGATAGGCTAAAATGACAAGGACTGATAATAGTGTTAATAACTGGACAACTGAAACCCTCGTACATTGCTGGTAGGAGCATCAACTGGCAAAATTTACTCTAGCTAACCATAAATACACCCTGTGAGCCCGCAAGCCAATTCTGGGTACATGCCCGAGAAAACGACAATGTTCTTAGCAGCATTATTCGTAATCGCCAGCTCCGACTGGAAGTAATTCAAACGTCCATTAATTTAGAATGGATGTATACATGTTGGCATATTCACATACATACTACAGAGCAATTTTTAAAAAAAGAATGAACTTATGCTACACATATCAACCAAGTGTTACTTTATGAAGTTCAGAAACGAGCTAAACCAACCTGTGGTGAGAGAAGCAAACTGTCACGTTTAGGGAGCATGGGTGTTAGCTGGGTAGAGGCACCACCAGGACCCCAGCTTCACCCCGAGGATCTCTGCGCCTCATGTACATACAAGTCATGCTGCACCCAAGTTCCGAAGAAAGAAAACTTGGGAACTCACGTCTTAGGAATATGCCAATATGCTGGAGGAATAGCCAGGAGACAGAAGTAAACTGATAAAAGTAGGTTCCTTCACTAAAATATTCCTATTATTAGAATGGTTTCAACTTTGGCTTATAGCGTCACACTACTACTTTCAGACAATGGTTCACTGTCGCATAAACTAGGCAACTAACTCTGCAATGTTATATATATTAATTACTTAGCACCAAGTTTTAGCCACTCATTTTGCTAAATTTTGAAAAAACTAAACTCTGGCCTAGAAAATTATAGTGGCTATTTGACCAGTAATACTCCAAAAGAAATCTACTTTCACCTAAAATCAGTTACCACCGAAGTCAAACAAATAAAATTCAAGTATATAAAATGTATTTCCTGTTAAGATTTGGGAGGAAAAAATCTAAAAAGTTTTTTAAATAACCTTGAGTACCCTAACGCAGCTAACTTTGTATTCTAGGCTGTGCTTTGGTCAATATGCTTGACACTATACACATGAACAGTACTAGGAATGAGTTTTAATATTAATAAATACTCAATTTAACCAAATATTTAATTCCTCACTAAATATTTTGAGGGAAGTACACAAAAAGATTAAAATATTTAAAACCTTCAAGAGCAATAAAGAAGAGTACCTGAAAACTATGCATGTAAACAGGCAGAGCTGGGCTGCAGTACACGTAAGGCACGAGTGACTATAAATATAGCACCTTGGACAAATACTTCACATTACAGTGTCGTAGGTGTATGTAAAATAGAACATCTGTTGGGGGCTGCAGCTAGACTATAACCTACACGTCTCAGCATTTCCCAGAACTTCCTGAGTGACTGACACGAATGGTGAGGTCAAACTGCTGGTGTGTGAGACCCATTCTTTTTTTTAAAGATTTCTTCTTCTTTTGACTTTGCTGCTCTCGCCTTCAAGGCACACATCTAAGTGCTCGTTAACCTGAGCCTCCAGCACCTCGCTCTGACACACAGGACAAGCCACTGTTCTGCTCTGGCTGGTGGAGCTGGTGCAGCCGGTGGAGCTGCCGGAACTCTGCGTGGCAGCCGCAGGGCGGGAGCTGCACGGGGGATCGCCGCCACCGCTTCGTGTTTTCTCTTTCTTGATGAAAAAATTCTCAAAAACCGTCTTGTCTTCCCGCCGGCGCCGTTTCCTGGGGGGTTCGGCTTCGGCCCGGGACGCAGTCGCGGCCGTCGCCTCCGCCGCTTTGAGCGAGTTCCTGAGGGCGGCCTTGGAGGAGGAAGTCCTTCTCTGAGAAGCGGAGGAGGCAGGGCTCTTCCCCGTCACGCCCACCACTGCGCCCTTCGTGGGGGACCCGCTCACGCTCCTGAACGCCTTCTGGTTGGCCACGGACGCTCGGGGAAAGTAGTTGCTCACCACGTTCTGGCGACCGGTGTTCAGCACAGGGGAGGCCGTTTTTTCCCTGGAACCGTTCTGTTCAGATTTCGCCTCCGTTTTCGCATTCCGTCTCCCAGCACTTGCTGAGTGGTCTTGACCTGAAGGGTCCTGGGTTTTATTAGCAGGTGAAGTGGGGAGCCTCCCGGAGGACAGGAGGTTGTTTGTTTCTCCCAGGACATGGCCTCTCCCGCTGAACGGCACGACTCCGTTCGTGTTATCTGCAACAGAGGCAAGGGAGACTTTTCCTTCACCCAAATTAATACAGTAACAAACGCTAAAGTATTCCACTCTAACTTAGATCCACATAGTTACCTAGGAATGAAAGAAAGACCATCTTCAGCAGCTCGCACTCAGAACACAAAGGATAAAAAACATGCTCTCGTTTTATCAGGCAAAGACCCGCAGCGACATAACGTTACCCTGAACGCTGCTTAGCGTCGGAAAGCTTCGTTCCAGGAGGGGAAAGCCCACCACAGGCCACAGCCTTCTCCTCACAGCAACCAGGTGTGATCGCCCCGAAATTCCCCTACAGCTCCTCAACCGCGCCTTTCGGATTGGGAAGTGCAGCTCACATGCCCGGTCCCCCATCAAACCAACAACTTCCCAGGGAGGAAGCATGAACTCTAGTAACCCTTTCCCTCTTCAAAAGGCAGGGACTGGACTTGTCAGGAAAGGGAGAAACCTGACGACGAAGTCCTTGCAGGCACATGTCACATCCTGTCCCCTTCTCCTCCCAATGGAAGGACACACATCAATAGGAGAGTCAGCTGGACAGAATCCAGCCGATAGGAAGGGGTGTAGGAACGGCTCATGTTCCGGGCATTGTTGTTGGAATTAGTGTTTTTGTTCTGACAATCTTTCTGCCTTCTGTTTCCTAATGACTCACTGAGTCATAGGGAAGGGGGACCCTCAATATTTATCCCTGGAAATGATTTCGACTTTTACTTCCATCTACACGTGTGTTTTTCTACCATCGTTTATGGGCTATGAGTTTTATAAGCCCACACTGGAAAACTTCGAGAAACAATCTTTAAGATTCTCTTAATATTGTGTGCCAGCTTTCTGAAAGATGGTACTGTCTTTACACCGTAGCTACCATTGTGGAAAGCTGGCATGTAACAGAGTTACCTTTATTCTCTGCTGCTGCGAGCTTGGTCTTTCCTTTGCCTTTTTTGGAGTAGTTCTCCGGTTCCTTGATTTTGATGTAAGTGCCCCCACAGGTGCTCTGGTGCTCAGCCCACCAGTAGTCGTGCGCGGAGGGAGCCCTGTTGGTCGCACGCTTCACGTAGCCGTAGTAGGGTTTTTGGAACTGACACGGCCCATCGCAGCGCCACCAATGGCGCCGGTACTCGTCCACCTCGTCGTGGAAGGTGTGGTATATCTGGTTGGAAAGAGAGGGTTTAGCACTGAGTAGGCAGCTTAACAATTTTAAGAAAATACAAAAGGGGTGGTTTTTTTTGTTTTTAAGCTTTCCAGTTTCCTAGAACTTTCTGAAGTTTTATTTTGGGAAAGACAGCAATCATATTTAGCTCTGTTCAAAGTTCACTTTAATGGGGAAGAGCAGCAGTTAAATGTGGATTAGAAGACAAAAAGAAAGCCTTTTAGAAAAATGCAAAGCCTCCATACATGCGAAAGTTTTAGAAAACGAATTTAATGATAAAAACTTAGGATAAAAACAAGAGTCTGTATCCCATAACAAATAAGAACTGTTTCCCCACAAGTTTAGCCCAAAGGGCTGAGGGCTCCTTTCCATGCTGAGCTCCCTGAGCACAAGCACCTCGCCCGTGCAGCCTCCGCGGAAGCCTGCTCCCCGCACCTGCGCGGCTCTCCGCTCGCGTCTCAAAGCCGTGGGTTCATTTGATCTGCTGGGGGGGAAACAGTGTTCAGAATTCTAAGGTTTTCATCTCTGCGTCCTCGGTGGCTAATGTACGTGTGGCCCCTGAAGGGCCCAGTACTGGCTGCCTGACTGAGGAGCTCATTCAATGGGTCCAGGTTCCCCGTAAACGCGCTTTCCACCCTTAACCAGGATCACCGTTTCACCCTGAGAGAGATCCTATTTAGAGCCTAAGCAGAGGCAGATGCAGACTTCAGGCTGAAGGCAGGCTGGCCCTCCTGCCCCGGTGGCAATGAGGGTGGCAGGGCACCATTTAAAGACCGATTATCTCCTAAATGACTATGAGTCCCTTCTCTTCTGTCTCCTCAGGGGAACATGACTATCTGTCCAAGATTAGGAGCATCTGTATATGAGATTTTTTACTTTTATAAGAGATACTTTTTAATAAATTCCCCATGTGGGAAAGAATGCTAAGCTTTCTGTAACTCTACAGATCGTTTTACACTCCCCATCTCTCCATCATAAGCAAGAAAAACCCTATTGCTCGGCCAGCACGCAGACAAGGCGCACTGTATTAGGTGCAGAAGAGACTGGGGGACAGAGGTTCGGGGCAGAGGCATGTATGTCAGACCTGCCTTCCCCCCTGTTGAGAGCTCTGCTAATTGGCCACAAAATCTGGGAATTGGATCTGTTTTGCTTCCAACTCCTGTAACTCCTACAGCCGGGGAATGTGACTCTTTAACAATGTGGTCACTGACAGAAAACGGTTCCGCAGTGTGAAACTGGAGGCCTGTGGAGTTTGTTATAACAGGATGTAACCTGAAAAAGCAAGGGTGTCCACTCGATCAAACCTCTGCGATCTAACAACACACAGGCCTCCAAGATAAAAGAATATATCCTCTTCCCACTGAGCTGAAAGTGCAAATTCTAATGAGACCAGAAGCCTTTATACTGGCAGCTCCACGAGGCTTTTGCTAATCTGGGCTTTCTGTGATTGCTCTTTAACGCAAGCCACTTTCTTGATGTTGAAGTAACTCTGTCCGCTAATTAATGAGCGCTCTAGAAAGTTAGCACTGACAGCTAGAACAAATACATCAAGGGGAGCACCTGTTGGTTTTCATCACACTGGCCTCTACTGCCTATTAAAGGAAGGCGATACCCCAAAAACCAAAGAATTTATGCAAGAATGTCCTATTTGGTTCACTTCCGTTCAAAGTCTGTTAAGTCCTTCCAGAGGTGCTCGCTCCATTAAGCGTCATATACAGAGGTCTAGAAAGAGGGAGAGCGCCGTGTTGAGAAAATAAAATCCTGCACAAGATTCAATATCTGTTGAGAGTTAAAGGACAGAGAAGTCAGAGCCCACTGGGCAGATGGACATGCTGACAGCAAACAAAAGCGGCAGTTTGGGGGGTTTGAGGAGGGGTGGAGGTGGAAAGTTCAGTTAGCAACACAAGGCCTATCTAAGCAGGGGATGTGGAGGTAAGAAAAAAAAGGAAGAGAGGTTATCCGATAAGACCAATTGATAACAATAAAAACAACTAATATCTAATTAGTACGCAGACTGCTAAAAGGTTCTGCATGTATTTTCTCCTCCCGTCCTCATAAGGATCCAAGTTACTGTGCTCATCCCCACCTTCCATGTAAGATGAGGCGGAGAAGAGTTAAATGGACCCACAGTTCAGACCAGCACCTGAACCCAGGCAGTCTGACCCTCATGCTCTTCGGGCCCAGGCTCTGCCGCCTCCTACAATATGACGTCGCAATAGAAATCGAAGTCGACTTGGGGAAGGGAAGGACGAGAAGCAGCGCAGAATACAGGGTGGGCTGAGGAGGCTATATAAGGAAGCGCGTGGGAGACTCGGCCAACAGCCCAGAAGAGGGACTGCAGGCCTGATGCGCCCCCAGGAAAGGTGCCTCCAGGAAGGCCGGCTCCGCTGCCCCTCCCAAGTCAGCGTCTCCAGGCCTCTCGCTTCTGGGCAAAATCCTCCAAGAGAGCATTCGGTTCCACCCAGTTCTCTATCTTGCACTAAATCTCAGCAGCTCCTGGATGAATGACTACTGAGTATCAGCAGCGAGTGTGGCTGCACATACCGTGATGTTGGCGCCAGTCAGGCGATTGATGCGGTGCATGTGCTTACAGAACTCGGGGCCGTGCCCTTCCCGGTCTTTGTCGTTATTAGTGACAAATAAGTAGGCGTGGATCATCTCATGCAAGAGGGTCTGCAACAGAAAACAACCGCATTAGTTTCTGGTGCTGTTGAAGTAAACATCATTTTTTTTTTTAAAATATATTTTATTGATTTTTTACAGAGAGGAAGGGAGAGGAATAGAGAGTTAGAAACATCGATCAGCTGCCTCCTGCACACCCACCACTGGGGATGTGCCCGCAACCAAGGTACATGCCCTTGACCGGAATCGAACCCAGGACCCTTCAGTCCACAGGCCGACGCTCTATCCACTGAGCCAAACCGATGCTGGCAACATGCATTTTCTTACTCTACCTGGGGCCTTAACCTTCTTTGGCTCACAGGCTCCTCTCAGATGCTGATAAAAGTCATGAGGCATCTTTCTAGAAAAACATACAAGCACACGTGCACAGAATGTCTGAAGCTCTATAGGTCCTGCGTTAGCAACTCCCTGTTCCTGGAAAGCCTTTTTATCTCTTAATCAAAATCCAGATGATCAATGAAATCACTACATAAAAAATTAAAAATTTCTGTATTGGGGTGGGGGAAGACACCATAAGTTAAGTGAACAAACTCAAAAATATATATGCAACTCACTCACTGGGTATTCATTCCTAAAATATAACTAGTCAACAGGAAAATGACCAATAACCCAAGTTTAAAATGTGCCAAGATCACAGACAGTTCACAGAAAAAGACATAAGTAACCCATATGAGAAAGAAACACACTGATTTGTTGTGCTTTCGTTGATGATTCCTGTATGTCCCCTAACCGGGGTTCAAACCCAAAACCTTGGTGTACGGGGACGACGCCCTAACCAGCTGAGCTACCCTGCCAGAGCTAACGTCAGAGTCTTTAACGTGTCTCTTTTAATCGAGTTTGTTATTCCACGTCTGTAACTAGAGTGTTTAGTCTCCGTGTCATAGAATGACTGATACTGTGTTTACGCCTACCTTTCTCTTTCTCTGGCCTTTGTTTCTTTATTCCTTTGTTTTTTTATTAATTAATTATTTCTGTTATACCATTTTACATTAGCAGCTGTTTACTTTTTTTAAAAATGGTGATAAAAAGTCAGTAACATAAAATTTACCATCTTCGCTATTTTTAAATGTTTAGTTCACGTTAAGTATCATCTTTGTTGTGACACTCGCTACCTTTTATTATCCTTAAAAACAGCGTCCCTCGCATTTCCCAGCAGGTTTTACCGCATCCGCCACCCCCCTCCACCCCCCATGCTCTCTGGGGCTTCGTCTGGAGCCATGTAACTGGGACAAGACAAGTCCCCGCTGAGCACCCTGGGGACTCAGGCCTCCACCGGGCCCCGCGACAGGCCCCCGAGGAGCTCCTGCCGCCCACTCTGCCCGCGGGAGGCAGCACCCGGCAGGAAGGGCACCCGCTGACCGTGGGCGCTGCCAGCTCCGCTCCGTCCCGGGAGGCGGCACCACGGGCGGTGGAACAGAAGAGAATCAAAATTTGTGTCTTGATAGGAAGAGATGGAGCCTAAGTTTTCTCCGTTTTCTACATATGCAACTTAGAGCAGTTATTTAACCCTCTGAACCTTAATTTCCTCTTTTACGAAAACGAGGCTAGCACGCCTTGAAACTCGCCAATTACTGGTATAAACACCAAATTCGACACCATCCCCGGAGCCTGTAACTGAGGCCCTGGAAAATCACAAGGTCACCGTTACGACTTGCTCCACAATTAGTCCGCAGCGAGGACCAACCGATACGTGTATTTTTCACATTCGCGGTTCGCAGCCGCCTGAACCGGCGAGGCTGTCACACCGTCAGGGGGCCGGGCGCCAGGTTTACGCGGAGAACAAATACCTCCACGAGGTCCTTCCTGGGTCGCAGCTTCAGGAGCGGCTCGCTGAGGCGGATGGAGCACATGCCGCCCCGCCCTTCGTACGAGCAGATCCCCGCGCACCTGGAAGAGTCACCGGGAAAGCGTCACCGCCACGCACCAGGCGCCCGTGACCAGCCGAGCCCCGCACACCCGGGGCCGCCCCCGCCGGAGAGCTCGGGGCGCACGGCTTCCCGGGAGGCGGCCCCGCTCCGTCCTCTCCGGCCGCCCCACCCCTCCCCGCAGCCCGGCCTCCATCCGTCCCCAAAGGCATCGCGGGCTCCGTGGAGCCGTGCGCACGCTCCATGCCAGGCGGGTGCCCCCGCCTCGGGGGCTGGTCACCGACCCCGACCGCGCCCGGGGCGGGACTCCCGGCTCCGCGCGCAGGGCAGGGGGCCTTTCCCAGGCGCCACGGGGCCCAACGGTCACTCCGCACCCTCCCGCCGCGCTCACGGCCGACTGGGGGTCCCGGCGGCGCGGGGAGAAGAGGAGCACACGGCCCGGGCCCTCGGGCACCCCCATAGACCAGCCAGAAACGGGTTCGTTTCTTCTCACGGGAGGTGCCGTGCCGACCAGCAGCCTCTGCTCTCGGGGTGACCGGAGCGGGCGGGCACGCAGCTTTCCGGACGCTGTTTGGGCGGAGGAGGGAGGGGAGGGAGGGATACGCCAGAGGGGCCGCCGCCGGGCCCTCGGTTAACCGCCCCGAGTCCGTTGCGGGGAGCGGGGGGTGGGGGTGGGGGTGGGGGTGGGGGAGGGGCGGGGACAACCGCCCGCCCGCCGGCCCTGCCCGGCCCTCCCGGCGGCGCGGGGCTCACAGGGTCATCCTCTTGCTCCACTTGACCTCCACGGCCTCCAGCTGGCCCCAGAAGAACTGGTCGTTGAACTGCACGAACAGGGCCTGCAGGTCCGGCGTGGGGTCCACCAGCTCCCACGACGCGTCCACCAGCGACAGGGGCGCCTGGGCCCGCTCGCGCTCCGACATCAGGTTCCACTCGTCCTGGAGCCGGAGCGCCAGCACCAGGTCCTCGTCCATCGCTGCCGGGGTCCCTCCCGGGCGGTCTCCGCGGGCGTCGGGCTCGCTCGCGGGCGCGGCCGCCGCTGCGGGCGGGTCCCAGGCTCCAGGGGCAGGTGAGCTCGCTCCTCGGAGCAACCGGCTGTTGGGCTGCTCTCGGCTCCGCCTGCAGGTCTCGCGAGAACTCGGGGCAAGCCGGCTCGAGGACGAGGAGAACTTGAATCCCCCCCCCCCCCCAAGGCCGAAGCCAAGTTCTGGGGCTTAAGAAAAAGAACTCGGCATGACACCTCCGAGGGGGCTCAAAACGGGTCCCCAGAATTCGGGGCCCAGGAGTTTCAGGAAACTGCTACCGCCGTCACGATACACCTACAACGTCAAACTGAACGTCACGCTGGGCGCAAGCGCACTGCCTACTTCCCGCTCGGTCTCGCCCCCCCACTCACTTCCGTGATAGTTCCTCCGGCGCAGGCGCCGTAGGGCACCGTCGTTGCCGCGCAGGCGCGCTGTGTGCGGGCGGTCCCCTCGCGCAGGCGCACTGTCTGACGCCCAGCCCAAGGCGCAGGCGCACTCGCCTGTCTTCCATTCTGCTTCCTCCGCCCTGGAGCTCCGCGGGGCTCGGGTGGGCCCCCTGCCGCGGAGGCACCGGCAGCGGCGGCGGCGAGAGTGACAGCGACCGCGCGAGGCCCGGGCGGAAATGGCGATGGCGATGTCGGACAGCGGGGCGAGCCGCCTGCGGCGGCAGCTGGAATCGGGCAGCTTCGATGCGCGGCTGTACGTGAAGCAGCTCTCGCAGCAGTCGGACGGGGACCGGGACCTGCAGGAGCACCGGCAGCGCATCCAGGCGCTGGCGGAGGAGACGGCGCAGAACCTGAAGCGCAACGTCTACCAGAACTACCGGCAGTTCATCGAGACGGCGCGCGAGATCTCCTACCTGGAGAGCGAGATGTACCAGCTCAGCCACCTGCTGACGGAGCAGAAGAGCAGCCTGGAGACCATCCCTCTGACCCTGCTGCCGGCCGCCGCCGCCGCCGGGGCCGCCGCGGCCTCGGGAGGGGAGGAGGGGGGCGGGGGCGCGGGGTCCCGAGACCACCGGCGGGGCCCGGCTGGCCTTTTCCCCGGCCCCGGGGGTGCCCCCCGCGACGGCGCGGGCCCGGGCGAGGAGGGGAAGCAGCGCACCCTCACCACGCTGCTGGAGAAGGTGGAAGGCTGCCGGCACCTGCTGGAGACGCCCGGGCAGTACCTGGTGTACAACGGCGACCTGGTGGAGTACGAGGCGGACCACATGGCCCAGCTGCAGCGGGTGCACGGCTTCCTGATGAACGACTGCCTGCTGGTGGCCACCTGGCTGCCCCAGCGGCGGGGCATGTACCGCTACAACGCCCTCTACCCCCTGGACGGGCTGGCCGTGGTCAACGTCAAGGACAACCCGCCCATGAAGGACATGTTCAAGCTGCTCATGTTCCCCGAGAGCCGCATCTTCCAGGCGGAAAACGCCAAGATCAAACGCGAGTGGCTGGAGGTGCTGGAGGCCACCAAGAGGGCGCTGGGCGAGAAGCGGCGGCGCGAGCAGGAGGAGGCCGCCGCCCCGCGCGGGCTGCCCCCGGCGGCCGCCAAGGCCGCCAACCCGTTCGAGGAAGAGGAGGAGGAAGAGGAGGACGAGCCGGCCGCCCCCGAGGTGGAGGAAGAGCGGGTGGACCTCTCCATGGAGTGGATCCAGGAGCTGCCCGAGGACCTGGACGTCTGCATCGCCCAGAGGGACTTTGAAGGGGCCGTGGACCTGCTGGATAAGTTGAACCGTTACCTGGAGGGTAAGCCCAGCCCACCCCCCGTGAAGGACCTCCGGGCCAAGGTGGAGGAGCGCGTCCGGCAGCTGACCGAGGTGCTGGTATTCGAACTGTCCCCGGGCCGGTCCCTGCGAGGCGGCCCCAAGGCCACTCGCCGGGCGGTGTCCCAGCTCATCCGGCTGGGCCAGGGCACCAAGGCCTGCGAGCTGTTCCTGCGGAACCGGGCGGCCGCGGTGCACACGGCCATCCGCCAGCTGCGCATCGAAGGGGCCACGCTGCTCTACATCCACAAGCTGTGCCACGTCTTCTTCACCAGCCTGCTGGAGACGGCCCGCGAGTTCGAGACGGACTTCGCCGGCACGGACAGCGGCTGCTACTCGGCCTTCGTGGTCTGGGCGCGGTCGGCCATGGGCATGTTCGTGGACGCCTTCAGCAAGCAGGTGTTCGACAGCAAGGAGAGCCTGTCCACGGCCGCCGAGTGCGTGCAGGTGGCCAAGGAGCACTGCCGGCAGCTGGGGGACATCGGGCTGGACCTCACCTTCGTGGTCCACGCCCTGCTGGTGAAGGACATCCAGGGCGCCTTGCACAGCTACAAGGACATCATCATTGAGGCCACCAAGCACCGCAACTCGGAGGAGATGTGGAGGAGGATGAACCTGATGACGCCCGAGGCCCTGGGCAAGCTCAAGGAGGAGATGAAGGGCTGCGGCGTGAGTGACTTTGAGCAGTACACCGGCGACGACTGCTGGGTGAACCTGAGCTACACCGTGGTCGCCTTCACCAAGCAGACCATGGGCTTCCTGGAGGAGGCCCTGAAGCTGTATTTCCCCGAGCTGCACATGGTGCTTCTGGAGAGCCTGGTGGAGGTCATCCTTGTGGCCGTCCAGCACGTGGACTACAGTCTTCGCTGCGAGCAGGACCCAGAGAAGAAGGCCTTTATCCGGCAGAACGCGTCCTTCCTCTACGAAACCGTCCTCCCTGTGGTGGAGAAAAGGTTCGAGGAGGGCGTGGGGAAGCCGGCCAAGCAGCTCCAGGACCTGAGGAACGCGTCGAGGCTGATCCGCGTGAACCCCGAGAGCACCACCTCCGTGGTCTGACGCCGGGACCTGTTTCTGTGTATACGTGTATATTGCTTCTGTGTTATTTATATTTATGGTAAACGGCATTAGCATTTTCCCTGTAGCCTCCAACACAGCTGAGCCGTAAAAGACGCCCTCTCAGCTAGAAACCCAAAAGGAGAAAGAGGAAAATGTCCAGTTAAGCCCACATAACAAAAACATTGCAACTAATAAAATATATAATATGCTTCTCCTTTTAAATTATGCTAACTCTCTAATGAATATATTGTCACACTGTTATCATTTCAGTTCATCCTTTGAGTCAAAACATACCTTCTCATAGTATATATTATGCAGCAACAGGGAAGTAATATCTGTAAGTATTTTATGGAAAGTCTTCCAGTTCACCAAAATGTTAGGTTTCTAAAAGGGTACAGTGCCACATAAACAACCTGCTTCGTATACTTCCACACATAAAAATGTGATTGAACAATTTGGGGGAAAGAAAGGAGTCGAGAAAATTGGTTTTAGGGTAAATTTTATTCCAAAGAATTCTTCCGTGAAAATAGCTAGTTTGTGCAAATATTCTGATCCTTACATAAGAGGAAGCTTTCATAAACCAGTTCAGCAGACATTTCCAATGTGAGTCAAATGGCTAATTATTTTCAGCTGCTAATTAGTAGCTTTATAATTGGTTTGGGAGCATTTACTTGAAAATCTTAAGGGCTATGATAAATTATTTTTTCAGCATATTCCTGAACGGTGTGAATGCCCAGCTGGAGCGTTTGTCTTTATCATTTAAAAAAATAACAAGAATCAGGACACATTGAGGAACTGGCAGTACCAGTGAGTTTTAGCTGCCCCTCCCGCCTTCTGTAGTGGCTCAGACATCATGCAAATGGGAGAAAAGTTTTCATTGAAATACTTGTTCAGATTTCAGGGTCTGGTGGATGGGAAATTAGAAAAAAATCATATGCAAACCCCATAGTGTTTTCAAGTATAACTGCTTTTTTTTTTTTATTGTTTAAAGTATTATATATGTCTCCTTTTTCCCCTGATTGATAACTGCTTTTTAAAAAAAACACGTTTTTATTGATTTTAGAAAGGAAGGGAGAGGGATAAATAAAAAAACATCACGAGAGAGGTACATCGATCATCTGCCTCCTGCACACCCCCTACTAGGGATCGAGCCTGCAACCCGGGCATGTGCCCTGACGGGGGAATCGAACCGTGACCTCTTGGTCCATGAGTCAACATTCAACCACTGACCACACCAGGTAGGCTCCAGTATAACTGCTTTGGGTAGAGAACTGTTTTTGCTTTTTTTTTTTTTTTTTTTGGAACAAAGTGGAGAACAGAAAGATGAGACGAAATGTACCCAAAAGGAAGGAAGAAAGGAAAAGAAATGTTTGGTGACTCCTAAAATGCTGCAGGCTGCGTTTTTTGTTGTAGTTTTATCTTTTGTTTTACTTGCTTTGTTTTTTAAAGTGAACAGAATGCTTACTTCAGGTTCTTTCCTAAAACAAAAATAACTGAAGAAATTTTAATTTCCCCAGGTTTCTAATCTGTTGCTTCTGTTGTATGTCGATTGTATAAAACGCCTCAGACTTTGAGAGAAATTGTGCCAGCTAAGACCCGTTTTTCCTAGTTTGTAGTTGTGATTCTTGCTCCATAGGTGCCATTTCTAATGCCAGTTACTTCAAAAGGTCATTTCTCTTATCTAAATAAAAATAGTGGTATGAAGACTGTGGAAATGATATAAAACCACAAATAGGTCCCAGAACCCTGGCTTAGAGCTGTAAAGTTTCTTGAGTTAATTTGACTCATGCCAGAGGACCCTTTTGTTTTTAGCGAGGCCTATAGAAAAGGTTGCAAGTAATCAAAGTTACAGATTTTTTTTTGACTTTGTAATTCTTTTTTTTTTACGTAACTAGTTAATAACCACACTGGATAATTCAGCTGAACACAAAGAGTTATAATTTGTCTTTTAAGATCACTGGAAACTTGAATTTGATTTAAAAAAAAATTTGTAATCATTCTGTGCCACTTACAGCTTCTAAAATGATATTGTTTGCGACACATCCTGTGTGGCTATTTGACGCTGGGTACATAAAATGACCCCCCTGAAGTCAAACCTGAAATGTGCGCACTCCGATATCTAGATGGTTGCTTCTTCGTGGAACGGTCTGTTGACATGAACGTGCTCCTTCATCAAAGCTGCAGCTGAGGAACGCGTGCTTCTTGCCATCAGTCCGTGGGGGAGTGGGGGGAGGACCACCGAGGTGAGGAGTGTACGTACCATTGTGCCGGGAGAGCCATCACATGGCCGCTCTTCAAAGGGGGGCAAGCTCTTCTCTCCAATTCTCGTCTCATTGGACTCCGAGTTCTAAAACTTGAACGCACTTAGAGTGTCCGAATGTAGCACGTGCTGCAATCTACCACTGACGGGTTGATGGCCTCGTTTGCTGGCCTCACAGGTAATACTGTCACTTGTGCTTGGAATCACAGACTTGATTGACCTCATTCCTGTTGAAAAAGACACCCTGTGGAATTAAGTCTCTCTTTTTTTTATGAAAGCCTCATGTCACGTAAGTGCAGAAAACTCGCTTATTTTTGTTTCAAATACTACCTAGGGTGACATGATCCGCATTTGTATTTTGCAACTTGCTTACCTGGGAGGGGGCGTTGGGACTTGACATGCAGTATGAAGTCGCCTATGTACATTTTGCCTATTGGTATGCTGTGATGAGGAAGTCTGAAATGTTTATCAAAATAAAGTTTTTCTTACCCTGGATAAAACTGGTTGCTATTACCATGTTCTGCTGTCTCTTCTTTCATCACGATTTATGTTCTTGTTATTGAAATAGAGTTTTAAAAAAGATTTTTGAAATATGTTTTTTTGATTTCAGAGAGAGGAAGGGAGAGGGAGAGATAGAAACATTGATGAGAGAGGATCGAGCCCGCCCTGACTAGGACCTCTTGGTTCATAGGACGAGGCTCAATCTACTGAACTGCGGGAGATTTTTTTTTATTTTTTAAGGAAATAAAAATTGGCCCTGGCCAGTTTGGCTCAGTGGATACAGCGTCAGACTGCAGACTGAAGGGTCCCAGGTTCAGGGGCACATGCCTGGGTTGTGGGCTCGATCCCCAGGAGGGGGTGTGCAGGAGGCAGGCAGGCAATGATTCTCTCATCGATGTTTCTGGCTCTCCCTCTGTGAAATTTAAAAACAAAAAAAATGGACTTTATAGTCTTGTTAGCCTGCGATTCTTTCACAAAAAGCATTTGTGAAATGAAAACAGAAAGCAATTGACTTTATCATGTCGCTGAGCCCGTGCAGCCCACCTTGCTTGTCGCTGGAGGGCCAGCCCCGAGGTCGCCCAGGCCCCTGAGCACCAGGTGCGCCGATATTTGTACAGCTCTTGGCCGAGCGCTGGGCACACAGGAAGCGCTCAAGTGGCCCTCAGACAGAACAAGCATGGCATGGGTTTTCCTCTGTGAGGGCCCTGGGGACTGAAGCCGGGGTGAGGTCCCCGCCCCCGCCCCCGCCCCCAGGTGGAGCTCTTCAGAGGCTGGTGCACCTGACTCAGTCCCGGGGTTAAAATAGGCTGCCATCTTCCTTCCTTCCTCCCTCCCTCCCTTCCCCTCACCTGAGGATATTTTCCCATTGATTTTTAGATAGTGTGGAAGGAAGGTGGAAAGAGAGTGAGAAACATTCATGTGAGAGACACATAGATTGCCTCCCACCGGCACTCCAACGAGGGCCGGGATCAAGCCTGTAACCGAGGTACCTGCCCTTGACCAGGAATCAAACCAGAGACCCTTCAGTCCACGGGCCAACGCCTCACCCTCTGAGCCGACCCAGCTGGGCGCTGCCACTTGTCAGCACAATACGCCCTGCACTTTACTCACATTCTGCACTCACTGCGGCGGGCGATCCGTGAAGCCAGGGATAGTGAGTCAGCGGAGATTCCACCCGTTTCCTAAAAACGACGTTTCCCCTGCTTCCCAGCGTGACGCTCTGCTCTCTGCTCACCATCGGCTGAGGTGCCCACAGGGAGCTCCCTGCCCCTCCGAGCCCAGCGAGCCTCTGCAGGTGCCCGGATGTGCGAGGGCAGACAGGCCGGCCGTGACCTTTGTGCCCGTGTTGGCTTGTGTAACATGTCTGCTCTATGGAAGGCTTCCTGTGGGTCCGTACACTTGAACCTCACCTCCCTAATGAAACAGATGCTCGTTATCCTCACTCAACAGATGGCCAGCTGCGGCCTTGGCCAACAGGAACCTGCCTGAGGAGGCACAGCTCCCAAGTGGCAGACTCGGCCTGGTGTTCTCAACCGGAGCCACACTCCGCTGCTCCCATGGTTCTGGCCCATCAATGATGAGGGGGCGGGAGGGGCAAAGCCAGACGCAGCCCAGCAGCTCTGCACCCGGGCACAGCTCTTATCCCTACAGCCTTTCGGACACCCAGAAGCAGGGACAGCAGTCAGAACGGTGGCCCTGTCTGGACCCGTCCCCAGGCTCCTCCCAGCCCCGAGTCCTAGTGGGAGAAAGGCCAAGGGCTCAGCGGTCACTCCCCCGGCCTCACCTCCCTCCCTTGGGGCCCAGGAAACTGCGGGAGAGCGTGCGACCCCTTTTCCTCCTGGGCGTCGCTGGTGAGCAACTTTCCAACGTTTCCCATGGCACTTCCATTCCAATTCGAGGGTTTGACAATCTCTTAGCCACTGCATCTGTGACCCCTGCTGCTATGGCCTGGATCGTGGCCCCCAGGTCAGGTGATATATCTAGAGATGCAGCCTGTGGGACGTACTTAGGCTGGATGGGCAGTGAGGGTGGGGCCCTGGCCCGATGATTTCAGAGAGAACGGGAGAGGGGAAGACAGTAATATCGATGAGAGAATCACGGATCAGCTGCCTCTGCACGCCCCCCACTGGGGATCAAGCCCGCAGCCCGGGCATGTGCCCTGACCGGGAATCAAACCGTGACCTCCCGGTTCATAGGTCGGCGCTCAACCACTGAGCCTTGCTGGCCGGGCTGGGTTTTACTTGCAAGTTTGGTGATGTCCATGTGACCAGAAATATGCTACAGGAACTTAACGCCTGTTTGCATCAGCTAGCCTGTGGTGACACTGGTTTCATTAGTTTCACTTGAAGTCGCCATTTCCAAGACCCTCCCGACTACGTCCGGTGGGGACTCACCGTATCTCTGTGGACCATGTCCTTGTTTGAGGTGAGAAATGCCAGTGACACGCGTCCCGTGGCGTTCCCAGCCACAGCCTCTAGTGCGATGTCGCGCTAAGTCAGAAATCTGTAGAAGTTAGCACGGGTGCGGGCGCGGGTGTGGGTGAGTGACAGGCGCTGGGCTTTGTTTTCCAACATGTTTCCAAAAGGTTATTTTATTTTAAAACACACAGAGTTGATACAAATGCCTTTTAAGTCCTGTGGTGGGCGGAGACGCCGCCCGAGGCTGTAGGCGGTGCCCTTCCTCCCCGGGAGCCTCGGTCTGGTCCCGGGGGGAGGAGAAAGGCTCTTGCTTCACGCCATTGGCTGTAAGAGTCCTTGGATGACAGTAATTGTGCGGCCACAGTCCCACAGCTGCTTGGCAGTCATTAAAGTTTTGCAGTTACTGGTTTTCCTACTGGGGTCTTACAATCTGCGGAAGAAAGAGACAGCTCATGACGTGACACTGAGTTGATACTCATGCGATGTTTCAGCCACAGGCAGAGAGAAACAGCTGCCGCTGTGCAGTTTACAGGCGGACTAGCCCCGGCGGGGTGGGGCCCTAGCCCGAGGGGATTAGTGCCCTTATGAGGAAAGACTCCGGAGAGCTTGCTCTTCCATGCGCAGAACAGGTCTTGTGAGCACACAGGCCTGTGCAGAAGCAGCGTCATTGCAGAGAGGGGTGGGCACAGCCAGCGCCCTGGGCCAGGGCAGAGGCAGGAGGTGAACCCGGTCACATTTTCTGAACTTCCAGTCCACTACGGCCTCACCCATAGGACACTGGCTTCCGTCATAAGAAATCAATCCCATCACCTCGCAACACGAGGTCTGTGTCAGTTATCTGCCCCTCTTACCCTCTGCCCTCTGCTGCCCCCTCTCCTTTCACCACATGCCCATCCTGCCTTCCCCTCATCCCAACAGACACCACCGAAAACTCCTCCACGCAGGTTTGACTAAGGTACCAAATAGGCTCGGGTGCAAAACGACAACTGAAAGAATCCTACTCCGTGACCAGAGCGTTGGTCAATGTCAGTTTTTTCAATGCTGACATCGCCCCTCCTAACACTACCCATCACTCCTGTGAGCAGTGTCCTCTCCCTGCCCCGGCCTTTATCTCTGCTTAGGTCCCTCTAGACTCTTCCTGGAGCGCCGACACGCCCTGCCTTCCTGGCGGGACCACTTCTCTGTGAGCTGATAGGACCTGCTGAAGGGTAAGGGTTGGGTGACTCTCCAAGGATCAGAGAGGTGCGTGCTCGACGCCCAATGCCAGATGCAAAGGGTCCAGATCCCGGACCGAGCGGGCGGGCGGGGGCTGACCACCCTTCTGCGTCTGAGCTGCCTTGTTCATGCTTGTGGTGTTTTCTCTGGTCATTTTCCTCGCACTTTCTCCTTAGTCTCCGTGAGAAAATTCTAGATGACATAATAGTTCTCTGTTTATATTAAGACTCAACTGTCCACTTTGATAAGTGTCTGTGCCGTAGCACACTTCCTTGTTTCACTCTGTGTTGACAAACATCACGCGGAAACCGATCGCACTTCACTGAATGTACTTACCAAGCATTTCTTCTAGCTTTGCTGCGGCGGGTTCGTTCACATTAAATACACAGTCGTTATTTCTAAGAGAAAAAGGAACAGCTCTTACTGCATAGGCTGGGGGGAACTGCAACCTTCACTAGTCACATAGTAGGACTATCTTCTCTATTTACACAGTAGGACTATCTCTTTGTTAAAATACATTTTTTATTGTGGCCAGTGTTACAGGTATCTCCCATTCCCTCCCTTTTCCCCTGCACCCAGCCCCCAGGTCTTCACCACCCTACGCCCGTGTCCATGGCTGTGCATGCAAGTATATAAGGTCTTTGGTTTGTCTCCTCTCGTCCAGCAAGGCTGCCTTTAAACAGTTTCCTGAAGGTCAGTGTTAAGCAGCTGGAAGGCTCCCTGCTCCTTCCTGTCCTCCTCCCTGGCTTCTGCTTCCTCCTCCGGCCACTTGAGAGACACGCTGGGAGAGCTGACCCCTAAGCATTATCATTCTTACATCCATTCACTCAGAGAGTCCGTATCTACCTCCCTACATACTCGTGTGTGCTGATGTACTGTACCTGTATGTGCATGTAAATGTACACACACCACACGACACTCCCCCAATCTTTCCTGTAAGTTATGCATTTCAGTGGTGGGCCAACGCCAAACGCTGGCCGGCAGCACCCTCTCCTTTGCTGCACATCCTTCCATTCTGCCCCGTGGTGTGCGCAGGGTCACCCATCCTGACGTGCTAATGGGAAGTGGATGAGGGAGCACCGCGCGTGCGACTCGATCGGACATTCCTGTGTGGCTCTGGACTCTGCTCATCGTTACCCGTCAGCACCCGCGGGAGCCCAGACTTACACCTTCTTCCTCTCCACCACGCCAAGCCGCACCAGGGCTGCCAAGGCATTTTTCTGTACGTCCGAGGACAGCACGTCGTAACACTGCGAGGCGCCTGCAACAGAGGGGAGGCGTGAGGGGCCGCTCTGTTCCCAGCGGAGGCGGCCAGCAGCCACAGGCGGGACTGACCTTGATCGAGAAGCTGGCTGGTGAACGTCCTGACCCGAGCCAGGTACTCCTTCTCCGTGAAGCAGTCTTTCTCCTCCTCCAGGAGGTGTTTGCAAATGATCTGCGTGGAAGAGGACGAGGGGCTCAGGAGAGGCAAAGGGCAGCCAACTCGCAGCGCAGTGGACAGTCCCACGCCTCCTCGGAGCCCAAGGCGGCACCCCGAGCCGGGCCGCTGCACGGAGAGGCCTGCGCACACGCGGGCTGCGGGTGCTTTTTCTCCTTTTTGTTTATTTTTTCTTTTGAGGCCCCGGGGTTCTCAGGAGCGCTACTGAGCTGCTGTCGCTGCTCTCAGTTAGGAAACAGGCTGCAGTGGTGTGGACACCGATGAAAACAGACTTTCCCACGTTCATGGTGAAGTTAAGTCAGTTACCAGCAGCTTCAGTTACCGTGTGCTGCTTAGGAAAAGAGGGGCCCAGGCTTTTTGTAATTTTTTTCTCTCTAAAACCTGCTAGACCCTAAGATACTTGATGATTTCTACCAGGAAAGGTAGAGACGGTATTTATCCAGTAGCTAAGGGCAGGGCTTTTATTTTTTTATTTTATTTTTTTAAAAAATATATATTTTATTGATTTTTTACAGAGAGGAAGGGAGAGGGATACTGAGTTAGAAACATCGATGAGAGAGAAGCATCGATCAGCTGCCTCCTGCACACTCCCCACTGGGGATGTGCCCGCAACCAAGGTACATGCCCTTGACGGGAATCGAACCTGGGACCCTTCAGTCCACAGGCCGATGCTCTATCCGCTGAGCCAAACCGGTTAGGGCAGGGCAGGGCTTTGTGCACGGAGGTCGGCGAGGGCCACCTCCCTGACCGCAGCAGCCTCGCCGGGAAGGTGGCCGTGCCCTCAGCAGTGCCAAGCTCAGAGCCACAGACAGGCGGGGGCCCTCTGACCTTTCCATCCCCAACAACCCGCCTCCCCTGCATGCGGCGCTCTCCCTGCGGACGTGCACAGCAGCCCCTCCTGACTCGCTCCCGAGAGCTCCAACTTTCAGCCACTTGCACCTGAACTTCTCCTTTCCCTTCCACTGACTGTATCAGGCAGCTCTTGCGTTTACTAAGTGCCGACTGGGTGTCAAACACCGCGCTACAGACTCTGAACCAAGACTGTGAAGCAAGCACAGCAACGCCTGGGCGAAGCCGTGGTCACAGGAAGACTGTGCCACTCAGCGGTCCTCCCGGTCTGATGGGACCCAGCCGCCGCCTGTACGCAGGGAGCAGGGTCTCACCTGGCAGGTGAAGCCCCTCATTCCAGGATCAGTCTCCCTGGTCTACCTGGCAGCTGGGGAAGACACCTGCCCTTCAGGCCAGAATAAGTAGCGGGTGGGGATCTTAGACGCGAGCTTCTGGAAGACTCACATACCTGGTAGCACTCCACAAACGGCCTGAAGAGCTCTATTAAAAACTCGAACACGGGCTTTCCCGCCTCAGTCACTACGATGTCCTTCGTTGTCACCTGAATGGTCTCGCTTTTACAAAGCAGGTAGCAGCCTTCTTCAAAGTCCTGGGAGGGCGGGGGGCGGAGAAGACAGGACCCGCTGAGTGAGGATGCGGCGCCCTGTGCGTGCAGCCAGGGGTGCAGAGCACGAGACGCCAGCTCAGCCCTTCCCGAGGCTCCGGCTGTTACGCGGTGGTCACGGAAGCACTGGTTCCAAGACTCAGCGCTGACTTCGCCCTCAGCCCGAGAGGCACCACCTGGGTGATGGCTTTTCCTTCCCTTTGCAGACACGCTCCTCAGAGAGGAGGGCACAGCAAGTCCTAGAACCTCAGACCTATGCGCCAAAGGCCCCGCCCCCTCTGCTGAGCAGTGCCCAGAAAGCCCCCCCCTCTATCCCGGCTCCCCACCCCGCACCCAGCTCCAGCCTGGTCCCTCACCAGCTGCTGCCCGGCCAGGCAGGACCACACTCTCTGCTCTTAAAGCCAAAGGCCCCCTCATGCCAACAGCTGTTACCAGGAACATGCGTGCTGGTTGGTAAACTTTCAGCAAGCTCGAGTTGATTGATTTGCTGTAGCTGCACTAACCGTTCAAAGAATGACCCTCTTTGTTCCAAATAATCCCTAAGTTATTGATAAATTTAACCCAGAATCAAACTGGAGTTGGCTGACTTGTGAGCGTCCCGTCCCCCTTTAAGCCAAAGGGAGGGAGGGCCCATCTGTGACGGGGCCCGGCCTCCCCAGGACTCGCACTCGGCCCGGGCTCGCTCCGTGGCGGCAAAGACGTACCTTCACTGCGTTTCCCGGAAGGAAGATGAACTCGTCCGACAGGACATCACGCAGGAAGCGGAAGGAGCAGTAGACGTCCTCTGGAAAGGCGTTGCAGAAAATCACCACCTGGGAGTGGCGAGGAGTCCAGGACACTCCGAACGCAGCTTCCGAGGCACGTTCCCGCCTCTCGGGGATGAGAGGTGAGGCCCCAACAAAAGCGACCACCAACCCCACTGTGCCCGAGAGCCAGCTGCCGCCCGCACTTTCAATGGTGACTCTAAACGCAACCAAGCCTCCCATCCAGGGCTGGGCACCTCGTCCTGCCGAGGGCCATGCGGAGATTAACATCTTTCTCAGGCCACACAAACTCATTGGCTGAAGTCAGCCCATCATTTGGTCAGACGTGTCATCAACCGCCCGTGCGGCCTTGGCAGGGCCAGACCAGAGGATCTCACAGGCCTGCCCAGCCCCCGGCTGGACGTCCCCACGTGGACGTCCCCACCCTGCTCCAGGCAGTCAGTCTGGGCTGAGCAAGAAGCCTCACTGCTTAGCAGAGGAGAGAGACGTCCAGGTGGGGACGTCCAGCTGGGGGCTGGGCAGGCCTGTGAGATCCTTTGGTCTGGCCCTGCCGACCCCGGCAGAGGAGAGAGACGGTTTCTTCATCCCTCTACGCCCCTGGTTCCACCCTTCGCACAGGCGTGCACGCGCACACACTAACAGAGGACTCTCTCTTGTTCTCCTGACACGTAGCACCACCTGCCCGCCACCCAGAGACGTCCTGTCTGCTGTGCCGTGAACACGCTCAGGTCCCTTCCAAGTCCCCAGCTCCAGGCAGACGGGCATGTATTTAGGGACAAACCTAACTTCCGCGTGCACGGGCCCCGCTCCGGGCTGGGGTGTGGGCTGCACAGGTGGGAGGAGGGGTATGAGGCCCAGTGCTGCTCCCTACACAGCACGGCAGGGCCAGGCCTCCGCCCCGGTTCCAGACCACGTTCCCGAGTTACCTTTCCTGCCCCCGCCAGCCACCTGCAGCGCCAGAGCCACCAAGGAGGGCCGGACGAAGACATTAAGCAGCTGGTTCCTGTAAGCCGAGCACATGAGCAGCGTGATGTGCTGGTAGATGAGGCCGTCCACCACCTCCGAGTCCCTGGCGTCCACTTTCAGAACCACGCGGTCCCTGTCGAGGCTGACGATGTTGGAGTGCAGGAGGAGGCTGGACTGGATCACCTCGTCAGCGGGTTCATTGTCTACACACAGGACAGCTGGTTCAGGCCAACGGCAAAACGTGGGCGGGGTCCCTGCTGGGAGCCTCAGGCCTGCGACGCAGCGGTGCTGGGGGCCTGGCCTGTGGATTCCAAGGCCAGGTGCTGGCGTGAGGCTCTAGCAGCCGAGCAATGACCCCCTACGTACCGGGCCACATGAGGAAGCCCCCGAAGGCCAGGGTTAAGCCCTTCAGCCACAGCGTCTTCTCCATCAGGGCGTCGAAGTCCATGGCCGGCCGGTGCTGCAGCAGGACGGTGGCCACCAGGACCCACGGGCTCAGCACCAGGTTCTGGATCTGCAGGAGCTGCATCCTGTAGGCGACCTCAGTGACAAAGGCTTGTGTGTCCTCTGACTGCTTCTGAGGGATGTACCTACAAGGCAGAGACAACCAGTTACAGACAAAAACTCAACCCCATTCGTGATCCACAGTCACACTCAGCACACCCTGTGCGGGCCTACCGTGTCCATCCAGTCACTGGCTGGCACCCCTGTAGCTCTCCCCACTTTTAAGTTAGTCGGGTGCTGGTTCCCCTGAGAAGAGCGAACAGTCTGCCTGTGTATTTGACATATACACCCTACAACTAATCGTTTCTGCCAAGCATATAGTTCTTCTTTAATTGAGGCTTTCCACTTCCCCGATGTGTGACCTCAAATAACCGCGTTTCAATCGTAGAAGTAGTCGAGAACCACAATTCAGCCCAGCCGGTGTGGCTCAGCGGCTGAATGTTGGCCCAGGAACCAAGAGGTTGCCAGCTCAATTCCCGGTCAGGGCACATGCCCAGGTTGCAGGCTCCATCCTCAGTAGGGGGCGTGCAGGAGGCAGCTGATCCATGATGTTCCTCTCTTAGTGGCATTTCTCTCTCTATCCTTCTCCCTTTCTCTCTCTCTCTAAAAAATCAATAAAAAGATATTTTTTTAAAAGTCACAATTCACACTTCCAGCTTTTCATCCCTATTTCTAACTCGGTTATGAAAACACCAGTCTTGCACCTTGGGACCAGGTTATACGGGCTTCGGCTCAACCTCCCAGCTGCCAGAGATCGAAGCGACACGGGGTCTCCGAAGTATACGTGGATGCTGCCAAAGTTTTCCGAGAGAATCCTCCTGGCTTTCAGCAATCCCTAATAGCATCGCAACAGGGGGAAGAAAACAAAAGAAGCAAATGAGGAAACTGGTTGAGCTGTAAATGAGCATTTCCCCTAACTCCCAATAAACGCAGGCGCGCCCATCCTTTACGTACGGTCGTAGATTCCTTTGGCTTGGGCACCCCTAAAAGCTCATACACATAAAGGGTTTCTTCCAGGATCTTATCATAACTGATGCTAATTGGAACAAGGTAGGTGTCAAAAACTTCTCTTTTGAAAAAAGGTTCCATCACAATATTCAGCAGACCTGCAAGCAGAGGGAGACGTGGCCTTCAGGTATGTACATCCCAGTTTGCAAGCACGGCACATGCACAGGACACACTAAGTGCACGGGACACACTGAGCCCGTAAATACAAGCGGTTACGCTTAAGGAGTTCCGCTCACAAAGAAAACAGCATCTTGCAAAAAAAGCGCCAAGGCCCGGCCGGCGTGGCTCAGTGGCTGAGCATCGACCTATGAACCAGGTCACGGTTCGATTCCTGGTCAGGGCACAGGCCCGGGTTGTGGGCTCGATCCCCAGTGGGGGGCGTGCAGGAGGCAGCTGATCCGTGATTCTCTCTCATCATTGATGTTTCTCTCTCTCTCTCTCTCCCTTCCTCTCAAAGTGTCAAGTGCTACTTCGCAGCTGCACTGACACCCGCCCCCCCCCCCCCCCTGCCTCTGGCTCTGGGTGTGTCTTCCTCCTCCGCCTGCGGGCGACCTACCGAATTTAGGAGTCAGAGTCTTGGCGGAGCGGCTTCTTGTCCCTTCGAGGAAAAATTCAACAGGAGCATAACCATTCTTTAAAGAGAAAACACAAACAAACAAACAAAACACAGAGCCCATTGCCGACGCTCAAAGGATCGAGGCTTCTCTGCTTCCCCCAGCTCCCGCCCGGCTGCTGCACACACTGCTCAGGGGGAGCTCCGACACAGCCGCCGGAGCAGCCAGGCTGCCGGCTCCGAGCGCCCCTCCGGGAGGAACACGGCTCAGCGCCCATCCGGGCGTCAGGGACTTAACCGAGGGCTCGCAGGGGACTTCGGCGAGAAGGAAGCAGCTGGAGCACCCGGCGACTGTCTGCATTTACCCGCAACATGGTTTTGACGTATTCGGAGAACACAGCCCAGTAGAGTCTGTTGCCGCCGAAGGTGCGCCGCATGAAGAAGGCGCCCGACATGCGCAGCAGCTCCCCGATCATCTTCATCCCCAGGAAGTCTAGAGGGGGAGGGGCCAGCATTCACTGCAGAGCCTGGGACGGTCCATAAAGACCTAGCCCATGCTCTGCTAAGGAGGATCTCATGGACGTAAGACCTTCAGGATTGTCACTTCTGAGATCAAAGTCCCCAAGAAGAGACATCTCCTGGAATGATGGGAAGGAGGGACTGCGTGGGCAGGTGCTCACTGGGAGGGAACCTTGCACCCTCCATGCACCTCGGGGTTCACCATCAGACCAGCTGGAGCGGGGGAGGGGTGGGGGTGGGGGACTTTTTTCCTGCCAAGGGCCATGTGGATATTTGTAACATCATTCGCAGGCCATGCACAATTATCCACTTAAAACAGCCTGCTGCCCGGCCAGTGTGGCTCAGTGGTTGAGCGTCGACCTATGAACCAGGAGGTCACAGTTTGATTTCTGGTCAGGGCACATGCCTGGGTTGTGGGCTCAATTCCCAGTGTGAGGCCGATCAATGGTTCTCTCTCATCATTGACGTTTCTCTCTCTCTCTCCCTTCCTCTCTGAAATCAATAAAATAATATATTTTAAAAAATCAGCTGCTATATTTGGTCAAACATTTAATTACCTCCCCATGATGCATTGGCGGGGCCAGACCAAATGATTTCTCGGGCCTTACACAGCCCATGAGTGAGACGTCCCCCACCCGAGCCAGAGGCAGAGGGCAACGGCAGGCCACGTGCCAACTGCAGCAACGTCATCAGGCCAACTTCTTCAGTCTGCACCGCTGCTGACCTTGACAGGCCAGCATGTGTCCACAGGCCCTGGACAGCCAGGCCAACAAGCTCTCCCTCCCCAGTGGACCATCCGGCAAAACACCCACCGTCTTTAATAAAGAAGCCAGGCTAAGGCGAGGAGTTCTAGCATCAGTTTACAGGAGCCCTTTTCATTTTCCCTGATTTTCAAATAACTTCCTCACATGTCCATAGACGAAAATGCGTTTAAAGTGCTTAAGTCCCAGCCGTATTTCTCCCCACTGTTTAACGCCTTTATTACCAGCCATATATGTTTAAACCCCAGCTTCCCTGGCTACCCTGAGAGAGGGTAAACACATAACTTATTTGCCTTCGCAATCCTACTTTTGGGAACCCATCCTCCAGAAATGAAAGCACTGGTATAAAAATCTGTGGTTGCGATCATTCCAGCACACATTTTAATCTTTACAATCGATGAAAGGAGAGAAGCGCACGCACCCATCCCCGCCGCGATGACTGGGACCGGCAGGTCATAGTTGTACAGGAGGAAAGACAACATCAGGAAGTCGATGTAGCTTCGGTGGCTGGGCAGCAGGACAACCGGGTGCTCCTGGATGGCTCGCTGTAGCTTTAAAATACATAAATGAGACGCTTTGAATCATTTCAGTGTTCACGTTATTAAAGTCACACCTCACGTCAGAACCCGGGAGGATGTGCACATGGATGGAGGGGTGACTGACAGATACTGCGTCTGCCTCCCCTCCTACACACACCACACGTGTTTGAGTTCTAGGTAACCTCACCCAATGCAAGGATATGGAGAAGGTAAACTTTGATGGATCATAACAGTAACACTGATGATCACTAACTTATATTAGGCGGGCACCGTATTAAGCATTGTACATAGTAAGCATGTTACACACATTGTTTAATGCCAGGTATTTGTGAAGAGCCTTAGCTTCCTTGTGTGTGGCATGGCCGCGCATTTAATAAATGGCAGATCTGGGAACAGAAATGAGGTCAGTCAGAATGAGAAAGTCAGCCGTGCCCGGCTGGCATGGCTCAGTGGTTAGAGCATCGAGGTCACGAGTTCAATTCCCGGTCCAGGGCACATGCCTGGGTTGCAGATTCAATCCCAGGCCCGGTCTGGGCTCATGTGGGAGGCAACCAATCGATGTGTCTCTCTCACATTGATGTTTCTCCCTCTCTCCCTCCCTTTCACTCGCTCTAAAAGGCCATGGAAAAATACCCTCGGGTGAGGATTTAAAAGAAGTCAGCTGTGCGCTCTGCTCCAAACTGGTGTCCACAGCGAGAGAACGCACTTCTCTCGGGAGGTTAAAAACAAAACCGACGAATTTTTAGGACACGTGAAAGGAACAATGCTGCCAGGGAGAGTGGGTGCCATGGAGCTGGGAGGCATGCAGGGGAGCTCCCAGATGTACCCAAGGCTGTCAACCTCACCCGTGTTCACTGGGATCGATGTGCTGTCTGTTTCTCTGAGCCCTAAGTAGGACCGGCTGAGGGAAGGAGATCTGAGATCAGGGAAGGCATGCCCGCCAGCTGCCCAGGCCCAGTGCCACCGTTCTTGGGCAGAGGCCTGGCAATGAGTGAGCGACCTGAAGAGTCACAGGAGGAAACACTTGAGTGAACAGAATCCTCAGAGGCAGCCGATGGATGCTTCTCTCTCATCAATGTTCCTCCCCCCCCCCAAATCAATAAAAACATATTTAAAAAACAAATTAAAAAATATAATCTTTATAGGAAAGTGTCTCCTTACAGGAAAAAGCAAACTATTAAGTAACAGAAGTGACGGAATTAGAAAACTCACCGTCTGGCACTCATCACACACCACCGTGCGGAGAGCCGAGCCCTGTGCCAGGGACGCCTGCCGGCCCGGCCTGCCCACTGAGTGCAGGTGCGAAGCCGCGGAGCTGCCCAGACAGGGCGGGGCGGAGGAGAGGGGGCTGTTTCAACCAGAAATACTCACTTTCTGAATACCTTCTTCATTGACACACACTTTGGAGTAAATCTGTTTGAATATTTTGCTCAGGGCAAAGGCGAAAAACCGGATGGCTCCCAGACGCAGCCTGTGGCCCATTTCATCCAGGATCTGGCACGCTTCCTCGCGGAGGGCGTCCGGGGACTGGAGGGGCTCCCTGGAGAGCTGGAGGGGAGAGGAGCGGGGATACGTTTCTGGAAAAAGGAGCCACAGCCCTTTTATTCACACCAGGTCCACACGGCTGATGCTGAGGACTCAAAATTAGTACGTTTCTCCTTCATGTAGGCGGACATGGTATATTTTCCAACAAAACACAAGTGGATAAATGATCCTCTTTAGACAACTTCACAGACTAGGAACTCACAGGGAATCGGCCTTCCTCACAGGGAATGGCATGTGAGACAGGAGACCAGCCCCCTCTCATCAGATGTGTTACCAGCTTCCCCCAGGAGCCACGGCCCCAAACACACGGCATGGTGCCTTTCAGTGGCTGCCCGATGCCATGACCAGGTCACGGCCAAGGTAGAGACAAGACTACACGGAAGCCCCATCGCACCACCTCAGAGACACGGGACCTGCTACAGATCCCGACTATCAGAGACGATCAGTGAGCTCCACGCGCTCACAAGGAAACGCCTTCACTCCCACGGCAGAGCAATCTTCTGGTAACGAGAACAAAATGCTGGCGCTGTGCGAGCCCGGCCAGGGCCTGGAGACGAGCGAGTCCGTTTCTGTCCTCGGGGAAGCCAAACTGAATCCTTCGAGCCGCCCCCAAACAGGCGCTTTGAAAAGGAGGGAAGTCTGTGTGTTAGCTGATGGCTACCCAGAATGCCCTGCTTCGGGTGAGGAACAGAAGATCAGGGAGTGGGATGTTGGGCCCCCAAGTCACATGCAGTGAAGAACACCTTATCTTTTTCCAACACTATGGTGAAGTTACTACAACATAAAAATAGCCTTTTTTTAAAAAATAGATTTTGAGTCAGAGAGAGAAACATTGATTTGGTGCGCCTCCTATTTATGCATTCATTATAGCTTCTTGTATGTGCCCTGACCGGGGATCAAACCCACAATCTTGGCGTATTAGGACAAGGTTCTAACCAACTGAGCTACCCGGCCAGGGCAAAATTAGCCGTTTTAACATAAGTGATAAAATAAAAAAGCAATCCTGTGGCCTTCAGCACCTTCACCAATGTTGTGCAATCAACCTCTATCTCATCCCATACCTTCTCTTCTTTGAGGGCTGACTCAATGCAACAGGCCCAAAAGTGTGGAACCAGGATAAACGTTTCCTTTTAACCTGTATTCCTCTCTTTTCCTCTGAGAGGGGTGCAGCAAGAAAGGTTTAGTAACACAGTGAGGAGAGAACTCACACTGAATATAAATGGACTGAGACGTAACGAACAGGAGGCTGGGGAGTAGAGAGTGGCCACAGAGAGAACAGCTGAAAAGTTTGAATGAGAAGAGAGAGGAGCCGGCCGGTGTGGCTCAGTAGTTGAATGTCGACCTATGAACCAGGAGGTCAGGGTTCGATTCCCGGTTAAGGGCACCTGCCGGGTTTCGGGCTCAATCCTCAGTGTGGGGCATGCAGGAAGCAGCCGATCAATCATTCTCTCTCATCATTGATGTTTCTCTCTCTCTTCCCCTCTCCCTTCTTCTCTGAAATCAATAAAATAATGGGGGGGAAAAAAGAGGGAAGAGAGAGGAAAAACGCTCTTCCAAGTTGGAAAGCCTTCAACTTGTATTTTTTTTACAATCATCCCAGTTTTTAAAATTATGATACAAATATACATAATATAAAATTTGCCATTGTAATCACTTTCAAGTGTAAGTTCAGTGGCCCTGGACTGTGTATAGACTGAAGGGAAGGGGCTGATGAGAACGAGAAAGGCTTCAGAGAGAGGACAGAACTCAGCTCCTCTCCACTCCCACCCCGCCCTCCTCTGGCTGTGAAGCCTTCTTCCCTTCCCTTAATAACGTCTACTTTACCTCCCAAATGTCTTTGTTGTCTAAAAGCCTTTGTACATCTTTGATCAGGGAAAGGGCAATCTCAATGTCAACTTGTCACCTAATCATAAACTTGAACTTACAGGACTCACTTCCCTACAGATCCTGCACCTACTGACTTCGAGGACATAACTTAAAATGCAAACAGCCCTTCGGTTCCCTAGGGTTATGCGTTTAAAGAATACACAGAATCCCTTGCACTAGCCAACACTGGTACTTGGCGAGGACAGAAACAAAACAAGGCCAAGAGCATTGCAACTCAGTAGCCCAAACATCATTGCAACCAAGTTGCAGGCACCAACTAAAAAATGGCAGGTGCATCGGCTTAAGGTGTCTACACTTTAAGCATCATGAGCAGATTTCTTATCTCTATTTTTAGCGAGGTATGTTTCTAAAATATAAACAATCGCACCAACTCCAAATGGAAATCCTTCAATGGCTTTGCACAACTTCTAATTCCGCTACGAGGTTTGCAACGCCCTCCACGCCAGAGGCCCTGCTTCCCTCTCCAGCCTCAGTTCTCACCATGACCCCTTCTCTGCTTCTGTGGTCTGGTCATGTTAAACCACCTTCAGTGCTGCAAATACGCGTGTTCTCTGGTCCTTAAAGCAAGCGGGTGGCTCCCAAACTGCCACCCTTTGGAATGGACCGGGCTTCCTTAAAGACTGCCGATGGCTGGCTTCCTCCCGACCTCCTGGTGTAGCTGGGACGGGGTGGGGCTGACGCACAGGGATTCTGAGAGCTCCAGAGTGAGGTTTGAAAACCACGGGGAAAGTTATTGCTGTCAGAAATTCTCCTTTCACCCAGTTCACCTGGAAAACTCCTAATCCTCTTTCAGGCCTCATTTTAAAAAATCTCTAACTCCCTACACAAAACTAGCTTCCCCCTAACAGGTGGCCCTGCAGTGCGCCCACTAGCGAATCTTGTATCAAAGTTGATGATACAACTGTCCTCAGGCCCCATCGGACTGCACACTTAAGAGGCAGGAACCCTGCTCCAGTTGCTCACTGCTAGGCCCCGTGTCTAGGACAGAGGCTCACACACGTCTGGCTATGGTATACATTTGATGGATGTGCCGAATGTAGCTAAACCTAAAAAGATACATTAGGCCCAGCCCAGCCAGCGCTCAGTGGCTGAGTGTGGCCCTAGGAACCAGGAGGTTGCGGTTAGATTCCAGGTCAGGGCAAGTGCCGGGTGCGGGCTCCATCCCCAGTCGGGGGCGTGCAGGAGGCAACTGATCCATGATTCTCTCTCGTCATTGATGTTTCTCTCTCTCTCCCTCCCCCTTCCTCTCTGAAATCGATAAAAATATATTTTTTAAAAAGATACATTAAAAATAGCCAAATAAATTCATAGCATCAAGAAGAGAAAGAACTTGTTGACCAGGAGCAAACCGGGCTGCGTGGAAGAGGACTCACTTACCTGCTTAATGACATAGTAAACCTCTTCGGAGTTGAGAACACTACACTTAATATCGTTTGGCGTGCACGGAATGAGCCCCTTATACAGGAGAGGGGTGTAGCACTTCATGGCAAACTTCAGGTCACTGACATGCCTCCTTTCCTCTAACATATCTTCAAACTCATCCCACTTTTTGAGCTCCTTCTGTGGACAAGGTAAAGGAAAGAAAGTCATGCACATCCTGTATGATAAGTCAGGACAGATTAGGGACTGTACTTGTAAAGCTTTATTTCTGCCCCATTTGCATTCTGTGACATGTGACAAGAGCAGAGTGGCCGAATGTTAGATCTTCATATTCCAAGAAAAAATGTAAATAGGATCAATAAATTGATATTGAATTATCATAATGTTTTATTTTATCTTTTAAATTTTTTAAAAATTGATTTTAGAGAGAATGGAGGGGGATAGAGAGAGAGACAAAGATATCAGAGAGAGACATCCATCGGCCACCTCCTGCAGGCTCCCCGCTGGGGACCGAGCCTACAACCCGGGCATGAGCCCTGATGGGAATCCAATTGTGACCTCCTGGTTCATAGGCTGACACTCCACTGAGCCACGCTGGCCGGGCTATTTTTTAACAGGATTTATTTAATTGTAAATATATAACTTAATCTTTAACATTTTTTGAATCCTCACCCAAGGATATGTTTATTAATTTTTATAGAGAGAGCAAGCAGAAGAAGGGGGCGGGGGGGGGGAGTGGGGGAGAGACAAGCATCAATCGGTCGCCTCTCATACATGCCCGACGAAGGATCGAACCCTCCAACCAGGTATGTACCCCGATGGGAAGCAAGCCCGCAGCCTTTCGGTGCACGGGACGATGCTCCAGCTGACTACCTGGCCAGGGCTTACTCTTTAATTTTTAATAATGGCTGCGTTTTAACATGGGGCTTGCAAGCTTCATGAAAATTTAACGATCAGCTCTGACAGCAAGTACAAGACTACAGACTCCGGCTGCCAGCACTGGAAACGAAATACTCTAAGGACAATGGGATAGAGTAACTAATGAAAAGGGGTGGGAGTGCTACTCGAGATTGAATGGCTGGGGAAGTCCTCTCTGGGGAGGAGAGCTTTGTGCTGGGACCGCAATAATAAAAGTAGCAGCGGCTGCCCGCCTGGTGATGTGGTGTCTTATAGCACATTGTAAGCAGTCGAGATTTTTCATTCAGAGTCTAACAGGAAGCCATAGTTTGGGTGACGGGTGCGCCAGCGATCCCCCACCCCCAGCCTCCTTTGCATTCTGTGGTCTCATTGCAAGACTTCCCCAGGCCAGTGGCTTAGGATACAACCTACTTGTGATGGTTGCCAAGCCTACATGTTTAGACCAGCCCTTCCTCTTTGCTCGACTCCCATATTTCTAACTCTATTCAGATGTCTCCCAAGCCCCTTGTAATGGATCTGGTCCATAACATAATAATCCACAAATTAAAAATCATTAACTTTGCCCTGGTTTGGCGCAGTGGACAGAGCGTCGGCCTGCAGACTGAAGGGTCCCAGGTTCGATGCCAGTCAAGGGCACATGCCTGGGTTGCAGGCTCGATTCCCTGTAGGGGGTGTGCAGGAGGCAGCCAATCGATGATTCTCTCTTATCATTGATGTTTCTCTCTCTCCCTTCCTCTCTGAAATCAATAAAAAAATATATTCTTTTTTTTTTAATATATTTTATTGATTTTTTGCAGAGAGGAAGGGAGAGAGATAGAAAGTTAGAAACATCGACGAGAGAGAAACATCGATCAGCCGCCTCCTGCACATCTCCCACTGGGGAAGTGCCTGCAACCCAGGCACATGCCCTTGACCGGAATCGAACCCGGGACCCTTCAGTCCGCAGGCCGACGCTCTATCCGCTGAGCCAAACCGGCTTTGGCAAAAAAATATATTCTTTAAAAATCATTAACTTTGCCTCCCCCATCTCAAACTGAACACAATCATTAACTTTGCCTCCCCCAGCTCAAACTGAACACAACCCCAATTACACCCTGACCAAACCTGCTCCGTCCGCATCTCCTATCTGCGAAAGGCATCTCATCCACCCAGTTGCCCAATCACAGAAACCAGGATTCAACCTCAGTCTGCCTCCTCTTCCTTAGCCACCCCTTCTGCTGCCCTCCATAGCCCACAGGCGGCCCATCGCCCTCTCCCCACACTCACTGCCACTGCCGACTCGGGCTGTCTTCCCTCCTCTGTCCTGGCCCATGTCCAGGATCCTGGCATCAAATTCCCTCCCCAGCCAGCCTCTCCTTCTACAGCCTCCACTTAAGTGAAGAAAGAGAGGTTATTCATCCAGATAATCATGGCAGAAACCAAGCAGTTCTCTTAGACCTTCCACGTACTAATGTGATCCCCTTAAATGGTGCCCAGTGAAGTTCAGATTTCAGCCGTAAGGGTGGGTAAACACGACACATGCAATCCCTTTGGGAAATGTAGACTGCCTACCTCCTGGCCTTCATTACTCTGGCCCCCTCTATTCCAGCCTTCCCTGACCCCTTGGTTCTTACATGGATGCCTAGCGCAGGCTTCCTCTCCCTCATCCCCTTCCACATCTCAAAAACGCAGCGCAGGGTCACCTTCTCTGGTCCCAGACAGGTCAGGGGCTCCTTCTCTCACTCCCACAAGGCCTTGCGCATGTTTCCACCACTGCCCTCGTTCCACTTCGTTGCAACTATTTGTTTACTTTCATGACTTCCTTTGAAGTCCTGAAAGGCGAGGGCTTGCTCTTTAACTTCTGTGTCTTGAACACTGAGAAGAATGACTAAGGACTGTTTGTTGCAATCAGCAATATCTCAAGTATCTCGAATACCACTCTCAGATTAGATAGCACATTGCACAAGCACAGGACAGGCCTGAAATAGTAATAGTAAGAAAAAGCTCAGGACATCAGGAGAGGAAAACTATGTAATCACAAGACATGTGCAGCGTCCATCCGAGGAGACAGCTCATATACAACTGCCTGGCCATTCACATGAAAAGTTGAGAAAAGTCAGTAAAGAACCATTGGTGAATGGGGAAGTAAAGGCCCAACTCTCTCCTGTAATATAGGAAACTAGAAGCCCAGTGCACCAATTTGTGCACGGGATGGGTCCGATAGGGTGGAGGGGCCGATCAAGGGCTGGGCCAGCCAGGGGCAGGGGCTGCGGGCAGTTGGCCGGCTGAACACCGGGTTGAACTCCTGGTCGAGGGCACAATTTGCATATTAGGCTTTTATTATATAGGAGGATTGTACTCAAGTCACAAGCCAGTTAGGACTGAAAAAGGGACCTACGCCTGTCATGGTGGGAAGGCCATGAGGAGGGTCCTTACAGTGACGAGCCTGGGAGAAATGGACCGCTACCAGCAACGAAGAGCTCCTAGCTCCGCCATGAAATGGGCATTTCCTCTTGTTCCAAAGAATGCTGATCTCCCAACCGGAAGGCAGCCACATACACATACATACCCTCTTTTGAAGTTGTGGATTTTTGTTTGTTTGTTTGTTTGTTTATCTTGCTTTTTCTGTTTTCCCTGTTTGACCTTCTCAAACAAATTAACATTATATTTAAGTCAGACTGGCACTAACTGCTAGGACAAGCATGGTGGCAAACCTTTTAAATGCCCTCTTTTATTTCCTCCTAAAGTAGATAAAAATGAATCTATTGTTTTAAAAAAACACACACACAATCCATTACGCCAGGATTATGCAACCCCGAGCACTACAGAGCTCTCATGACAATGGTGAGTGACCAGTAAACGTTTTGTTGGCATAAAAAGACCTGTTGCCGAAACCGGTTTGGCTCAGTGGATAGAGCGTTGGCCTGCGGACTGAGAGGTCCCGGGTTCGATTCCGGTCAAGGGCATGTACCTGGGTTGCGGGCACATCCCCAGTAGGAGATGTGCAGGAGGCAGCTGATCGATGTTTCTCTCTCATCGATGTTTCTAACTCTCTATCTCTCTCCCTTCCTCTCTGTAAAAAATCAATAAAATATATTTAAAAAAAAAAAAAAAAGACCTGTTAAAATCAGGAGACAGAGAGAGGCAGTTGGGGGAGAAGAGGCGAGTTGGAGAGAGGCTGGGTGGCAAAGGGACTTGTGGAAAAAGTACAATGACAAAAACAGGCCATAAAAACCTCCAGAAGTTCCAAATCTCCTTAGATTTGTTCTAATCAACAAAATGAATTGACCGACAAAATAAGACCCGAAGCAGGGAAGACATGGAACCGACTGACATACCTTGATGTGGGGTTGGGGGGACGAGAAGAGATAAACCAGAGAACTTTATATACTTATGGGCACAGCCCATGGACCCCGGCAATAGATAGGGTGGTGAAGACGGGGGGGATGAAGGGGGAAATGGGAGATATCTGTAATATTAGCAACAATAAAAAATATATTAAAGCCCAGCCGGCCTGGCCCAGTGGTTGAGTGTCGACCTATGAACCAGGAGGTCAGGGTTTGATTCCCTATGGGGCACAGGCCCGGGTTTCGGGCTCCATCCCCAGCGGGGGGCGTGCAGGAGGCAGCCGATCCATGTTTCTCCCTCCCTCTCCCTTCCTCTCTGAAATCAATAAAAATGTAAACACACACACACACGTGTGCATGTATTTAAAAAAAAAAAAACTTAAATCGTAAAAACTCTCTGCCCGCTGATGAGCCCAACACTCTCCCGCCGGGAGCGCAGGCCGAGCAGAAGGACGGGGTGCGGGCCCGGGGCCTGCGGCTCAGGCTGGGTGGGCCCGCGGGTTCCCCGGCTTCGCCCAACAGGGCGCCCGCCGCGCCCTCGCCGCAGCTCCCGTTCCCACGCCTCCTGCCCGGGCCAGGCGGGGGCTTTCGGGCGGCCCCGCGCGCGGCGGAGGGAAAGGGAAGGCGCGAGAGGAAAGGAGCCGGGGGAACCGTCGCGGGGAGGAACTTGGAAAAGCGCGCACACACACACACACACACACACACACGGACACAGAGATGCTCCGTTGCCTTGGAAACCAAGGCAACCAGTTACCAGCCCCTCCTCGGGGAAGTCGGGGCCCAGGCTCTCCAGGGCCCGGAGCGACCGCCCCGAAGAAAACGAGACGGGGAAGGAGAGGGTCCTCTTTCGGGCCCGCCGCCTTTCCCTGGGCGCCTACCGAGTACAGGAGCACGACAGCGCCGGGACTAGGGGAGCCGACGGCAAAGCTGGAGCTGGACGAGCTGGAAGAATCCATGGCGCGGCTGCCGTCCGTCCCGGGCGGGGCCTGGGATGCTGTGCTAGGCGGTGGCGGTGCTGGTGTGGCGGCTGGGGGCGGTTCTTCCGCGCGGGGCGGCCCGACCTCGCCGAGGGCGGTGGCACCCTCTGCGACCGCTACTCGGGACCCCGGGCGCCGCCATCTTGGCCAGGACGGAAGCCGCGCGGGGCCCTGCGGCGGCGGCGCGCGCGCGCTCTCTCTCTCTCTCATTGGAACCCGGAAGTGAGGGTGTGCGCGCGCGCGCGGCCGGCGGAACCCGGAAGTGAGGGCGCCTCGCGCGCGCAACCCGCACCCGCGGGCTCCGGGGGTCGGTCGCGCGGAGCCCGACCCCGCGATGGCGCACGAGCAGGGGCGGGGGCCCTCCCCGCCTCCCTCCCGCCGGCTGCTGGACGCGGTGCTCCAGAACCTCTACGATTTTGGTGAGCGGGGGCCTCGGAGCCCACGTGGGGAGCGAGGGGCTGGGGGCGCCGCCGGCGGGGCGGGCCTCCGCTTTCGGGGTCAGAGGTTCCCGGGAGCCGGCACCCCTCGGCGGCGCCGCAGCCTTTTCACTTTTTTCTTTTCTTTTCACTGTTCCGGGCCCCTGGGCACCCCCGCCCCGGACTCCCCGGGCCCAGCTGACCCTCCGGCATTAGGACCGCCTGGTCCCGCGGGGGCCTCGTCCTTCCGGGCGTCCCCTCGCCGGGGGGTGGGGTGGGGTGGGCGGGGGAGAATGTTTTCCCAACCTTTTGTCCCCTACGTTGGCCGACCTGCGCTCTCCTTCGTTTATCTCGATGGGAGGGAAGGGAAATAAAACGCCCGTTTTTATGTGGCAACCGCCTGGGACGTTGCTAGGCAGCTCCCCACGCTCTGCAGAGCTTGCCCCAGGGGAGGAGGGTGGCATCTCTCCTGCCTGCGCCAAAGAGAATCTTCAGTCATTAGTGTCTTTTTAAAAAATATATGCACATTTGCATTGATTTCAGAGAGGACGGGAGAGAGAGAGAGAACATCCATGATGAGAGGGAATCATGGATCGGCTGCCTCCTGCACGCCCCACACTGGGGACCTGCAATCCGGGCCTGTGCCCTGACGGGGAATCGAACCTCCTGGTTCACAGGTCGGCGCTCAACCACTGAGCCCCGCCAGCCAGGCAGGTTCATCTTAATTCGTAACTGAAAGAAGATAGAAAAACTATTGTTATGGGTTGGCTCAGCGAGATAGACCACCGACTCAGAACTTAAAATTAAGAACCTTTATTAAGCTGGCCAGCTGACCACAGCGCCTATCTCCCCCTCTGGGAGCTTCGGAGCACGTGGCCGAGATCAAGGGTGCAGTATGATCCTTTATAGCAAAACTGTTAGAAAAAAAATACAAAGCATTCCATTACCTGTTTCTTAGAAGTTCACAGAAAGTTCATAAGCACAAAGAGGGGGTAAACAGAGTCACACCTGGCTGGAGCATATCATAACACATTGTTTTTCTAAGACAATCTAGCAGTTTTTCTTCTATGGTTCCTAACCCTGACATAATCCTCCATACGTCAGTCTCCCCTCCCAGCACATTCAATTTCTCATGTCCCATTTCCTCCCATTCCCTTAGCACATTCTGTAACATTCTGTAACCCTTCCATGCCGCAGTCCCTCACCCTAGCACACTATAATGCTCACCTATCACCCTAGAAAGTGTGAAAAAGAAACACTGGCTCACATTTTGAGTTACAAAGCGTGAGCCAGCGTGGGCCCGCTTCCGGGACTGTTGCCATGATGGCTTAGGAACAGCCGAGGTGAAGGCTAAAATGACCAGCTAATGAGAGTCAGAGTCACACACACTGTTCCCCAGGTTGAGCATCGTCCCCTGTGGCGTGTCGGATTCTCTAAATGGCGCAAATGCAACCCTCTTTGAAGAAGGGTTTTTTTTATTTTCTTTATAGGTAGATCCACGTGTTTGTGGCGATGTATATCTATACGTGCATTCACATGATTTGATATGGGCAGTAGCTAAAAATAAAAATGTCTTTTTCCTTCTTGTGGTTGAGCAAACAGGAGAGACAGAAGATGAAGCGGAACAGAAAAGGATCCGAAGGAAAAAGGAAAACAAGAAGAGAGATGCGGGGACCCCCGTGGCCTTGGGGGCCGAGCCCGCTCCCCCACCTGGTGCTCCTGTAAGAGGCCGGAGGAAGAAGGCTTCGAGCTTCTTCTCGGAGCTCCGGGAAGAGCTGCGGTGTGCCCCCTCCGTGACCCCCCCGGAGGCCCCCGCAGGCCCACAAGCCCCCCGGGCGGCAGCATCGCCCTCTCCCCCGAACAGGAGGGAGCCGGTGGAAGTGGTGGAATTCCACAGCAGGAGTAAGAAAAGGAGACAGAGGCCGGATCAAGATGAGGACGCCAAGGTACTGAGCTGGTTAGTTTATGTGTCTGGGATGGAAACCCTGATATTGTGGAACGGGGTGACTATCTTTATAGGCGATGTCAGGGGCCCCCAAGACCACACCCTAACCTGGGGGACTTGCCGAAAGCACGCGTGGGACTCAGCATGCAGTCACTGTCACGGTTATGTTTTTACTGATTTTTTTTTTTTTTTTAAGAGAAAGAGGAAGGGAGAGAAAGAGAGAGAAATATCGATGAGATAGAAACATTGATCAGCTGCCTCCTGCACACCCCACACTGGGGATCAAGCCCACAACCTGGGCACGTCCCCTGACCGGGAATCAAACCAGCAACCTCTTGGTTCATGGGACGACGCTCAGTCCACTGAGCCACACTAGCCGGGCATATCACAGTTATGATTTATTGCAGCAAAAGGATACGGAGTAGAATGGGCAAGGGGAACAGGTACCTGGGCAGACTGGAGGAACCCAGGCGCAGTGCCCAGGGGCCCCCTCCCCGGGGAGCTGCCTGGGATGTGCTGACTGTCCCCAGCAGTGAAAAGCAGCTTGAGTTTACTGCGCAGCAATCTCTCTTAGACAATTGGTAAGTCTCGCTTGAAATTCAGTCCGTGGGAGAGGTATGGTTGCTCAGCCAGACTTGGCCACCATTTGTTTAGCCTTTTACCCTTTACCAATGTCTAACTGGCAAAGGAAGTTCCTAATCCTGCCCACGTATAGAGTAGGGACCACAGAAGTAGTTTGACAGGAATAGTTGGTAAGAGATCGCTTATCCATTCATTTATTTACCCACAAATAACTGAGTGCCTGCTCTTGGGCAGACCCAGGAGATCAGCAGGGAATGAGGTGCAGTCCTTTGCCCTCCAGGAGTGTACCGTCTGCTGGTGGAGGCAGGCGAACCCCAGGAAAACGAACAATATCATGAAACAGAGTTATAAACGCTCTGAAGGAAGGATGTAGGTCCGAGGACGTGACATTAGACCGACTGCCCTGTTAAAGGCTTTTGTGACTTGGGGCAGAGGGAAGGCTGTGTGGCAAGGACCCCGAGGTGTGGAAAGGCCCGCTGGGTCTGGAAGCTGGAAGGCCAGAGGGAGTAGGACGGAGGGGAGGTGTGAGCTTGGGAAAGGCAGCTGCCCAGCCCCTGCCAAGTCCCGCAGGCGACGGCAAGGCCCTCAGGTTTTAGTGCCAAGTACATGCGATGCCACCAAAGAAGTTTAAGCACGGGCATGAGGTGAATTTTAACTTAAAAAGATCACTCACTCTGGCCCTGGCCGGCGTGGCTCAGTGGATAGAGCGTCAGCCTGCGGACTGAAGGGTCCCCGGTTTGATTCTGGTGAAGGGCACAGGCCCGGGTTGTGGGCTCGATCCCCAGTGCGGGGCGTGCAGGAGGCGGCCGACCCATGACTCCCTCATCACTGATGTTTCTCTCTCTCTCCCTCTGCCTTCCTCTCTGACATCAAAGAAAAGGTCACTGTGCCCCCTGCCCAGTAAGTGGGTTACAGATCGGCTCGTCGGCTCCGTCTAACAAGGCAGGAGGGGACTGAGGCCGGACTTCCTGCGGGGGTCCCCGTCCAGTGGAGTGGCCTGGGCTTGGGATTCGAGGAGCGAGTGGCAGGCCCACTCTAAAGGGCCTTGCAGCACTGCCAGGGGGTGAACAGTAACGGCGCTTCTCAGGAAGTGTCATTTATAGTTTAAGATGGTCCGAGTGTTGTTTGGCCCTTCCGGCCATGTCTTCGTGCCCTTTCTCCACCCCTCTCGTCCGTCCATCACTGCCCCGTTCATGAACCTTAGCCTCTTGTGTGGCCTACGTAGAAAGGGGTAAGGAAACCATAAGAGAAGTAATCGCCTGGCTGGTGTGGCTCGGTTGAGCGTCGTCCCTGACGACTCGGGGTCATTGGATTGACTCCCGGTCAGGGCACAGGCCTGGGTTGTGGGCTCGATCCCCGGTAGGGGGCATGCAGGAGGCAGCCGATCAATGTTTCTCTCAAGTCAATAAAAACATATTAGAAAAAAATGTGCTAGAACAGTGCACTGAGAGCGGGAGGGATCTTGGCTCCTGTGGCCTGGACTGAGGTCCAGGTAGACTGCTTTTGAGCGTACGATGGACTGCTCATGTTTGCTGGGTGCTTACTATTTACTTAAAGTGTTTATTATATTAGCTAATGCATTATCTCACAGTTCATGGCACCTGTCTGCCTTTTAAATCGTCGACGTGCGTTCAGACAGTAACCCCACAGTCTCAAACCTATCGTTCCAAAACCCCAGAACGTTCGACATCACAAGTTAGTGGGGCGTTTTTTAAGTTTGGTACAAAATTATTTGGCAGCAAAAACTGACCTGAACTGATCTGAGGCTTAAGAATTATTTTTGTTTTTTCATTTGGCATGAATGTTCATAGATGCTACAGAAATACGAACGAATGTGCTTAAGTATGGATTGTTGTCTGGGGTCCCACTGAACGTGGTGTATAATCTGCAGAACACTCACAGCATTGCCTCTCAGAGACGCAAAAGCTTGGGAATTTTCTGTGGATGTGCGGTCCGCGCCAGAGCTCATGTTCAGGCCTAAGGCCTCCTGGCGTGAAAGCTGTGTTCCCAGCTACTGCACCTGAGAGACGGACTGTCGGTTAGCCTGGGCTCTCTGTCCTTGGAATAACTCAAGTGCATTTTCCAGCACCTTCACTGGCAGAACGTTTTCCCAAGTTATTGCCCCAGGTGCCCTCATGACCTCCACTGTTTCCAGATCACTCCCTTGGCCTTGACCCTGAAACCCTCCTGTCTCCAGGTCACCCTTAAGTGGTCTACAGCCTGTTCTTTTTTTTAAAAAACTCTTATTTTTTTAATATATTTTTATTGATTTTTTAGAGAAAGGCAGGGAGAGGGATAGAGAGTAAGAAACATCGATCAGCCGCCTCCTGCACACTCCCCACTGGGGATGTGCCCGCAACCCAGGTACATGCCCTTGGTCGGAATCGAACCTGGGACCCTTCAGTCCGCAGGCCGACGCTCTATCCACTGAGCCACACTGGTCAGGGCTCCACCCTGTTCTTTAGTAGGTCCCACGTCAGCTGCCTGTTGGGAAGAAAGTCATCTAGTTGAAGTGGTTTATACTCAAGAAGACATGCCAAGTCTATCAAAACAGGTAAAACGAGTACGTCACTGAAGCATAAGTAGGTCTTAATCAGGATCCTGTGCAACATGCCTGTGTCATCGTTTGGCATTTAGGCATCTGGGCCCAGTTTCAAGGCCTTTTAAAACATGTCCACGCCGTCGGTGCTAGAGATTATAATGATGTGGTAACAGATGATCTTAATAAGACTTGTTTTTCCCTTTTCAGACCAAAACTAGTATCCTGGACAAAGATGTGAATATACAAGAATTTAACTTAGAAAAGGTATGTGTTTTGAAATTGCTAATTTTTCCATCTTTATGCTACCAAAAACGATGGCTGTTAACACGTCCGGGGGTTGGGGGAATGGCTCAGCACGTCACTGCACCCACTCGCTTGAAAACCGCCCGTTCATCTGAAACAAGATGGTTTTCTGTCGCAACACCAGTGCTGCAGCAGAGAGCAGGAAAAGCAGGGATGCGCGAGTTCTGTGACGATAAACTGGGCTTCAAACTCGCGTGAGAAAAAAGACAGGAGCAAGTAATTCAACTGCTATAGGTGACTTTCCCTCTTCTTTCTACATTATCTTTTAATGAAGAAAAAAAAACACGGATCTGGGTTTAAAGCTGCTGTTAGTGGTTTCTAAGTCTAAGTAGGGATGCTTGGGGAGGGACCTTTAAGTGGAAATCACTGCCTCTGAGGGTGGCGGGGAGTGGTGGAGCCTCAGAGAGCTGCAGGCTCTGTATTCACTGCTCCTGTCCCTCCTTCGTGCAGAGGGCACGCTTTGCCTCCGCTGTCCTCATTAAACCCGGGACGGTGTCTGGAGGGGGCCGTCACACTGCAGGAGACCCACGCAGCTCCTTGAACCATCACAGCGTCTTGTGGGCTGTCGTCGCTGAGTATCTGGCGCCAGCTCGTGGTCTCCAAAACGCATCCCCGATGGGCGTGGCTTTCTCCTGGGGAGTTTGTGGGGAGCACTTGGGTCTGATTCTGCTTTGTCCCCAGGCTCGGCTGGAGGTGCACCGGTTTGGGATCACGGGCTACGGAAAAGGGAAGGAGAGAGTCCTGGAACGGGAGCGTGCGGTCATGCTGGGCGCACAGGTGAGGGACTGCTCGGCCTCCTGTCACCAGGCAGGACGCGGCCAGCCAGGGCAAGGGATGCTGGGAAATGGGTGCAGAGTACAAAGTGATGACGTGTCCTTTTCTTCCATTGCAGCCTCCCAAGAAGAGTTACGTGAATTACAAGGTTTTGCAGGAGCAGATCAAAGAGAAAAAGGCAGCCAAGGAAGAGGAAAAGAGAATGGTAGGTGTCCTGGCCTTTCCTTCATTAAAGCCAGAACAGAAAGGTGGTGGCCATTTGTCACAGTGGTTGCTGGGCCCAGCTGCTTGGAAAGAAAGGTCTAGACCAGCGGTTCTCAACCTGTGGGTTGCAACCCCTTTGGCAGTCAAACGACCCTTTCACGGGGGTCGCCTACGACCATCCTGCATATCAGATATTTACATGACGATTCATCACAGTAGCAACATTAAATTATGAAGTAGCAACGAAAAATAATTTTATGGTTGGGTCACAACATGAGGAACTGTATTTAAAGGGCCAGAAGGTTGAGAACCACTGGTCTAGACCACTTCCTCAGGTCAGCAGCGTTTTGTAATGCAGCCAAGTGATCTGGTGTATTTGCATGGCGGTTTTGCTTGAAGCCACAAACTCCTGTTCAGATCCTGTCGGCTGCGTTCATCGGTTTCCTGTACTCGGTTCTTTTGTATTTGGTGTTGGTCAGTGCACGGGGGCTTTGAAACCACAGGGGATGGGTGTCCCACTCCTTTTCATCTGAAATGGAGAGTGGACTTTTAATAGCTTTTGCATTTACTCTCTTTTTTAAAAATATATTTTTATTGGTTTCGGAGAGGAAGGGAGGTAGAAAATCAATGATGAGAGAGAATCATTGACCGGCTGCCTCCTGCACACCCCACACTGGGGATTGAGCCCGCAACCTGGGCATGCGCCCCGACAGGAATCGAACCTTCAGCCTGCAGGCGGACGCTCTCTCCACTGAGCCAAACCAGCCAGGGCGGAAGAGTGGACATTTCTGTCATCAGTGTTCTCTGGAATGGCCTTCCATGTTCTCAAAAGTGTTTTAGGAAGACACTTTGAGTCTTTTTTTAATGTGTCTACTCAAAAAGCATTAAGATAATAGCATCTTGGCTTTTGATCACAGACCTCCTGCTATGTCTGATACATATATTGTCTCAAATTCTGAAACAGGCCCAGGACACAGACATTTTCAAGAAAAAGAAGAGGAAAGGGCAGGAGGACAGGTGAGTGACACCACACGGCGGGCGGGAGGGCGGACGGCGTGGGGAAGCTGTGGCTGAGTTTTGGGGGTAAGGCCGGGGGTCGCTGGGGGTCCAGCCTGTCCCAGGGCTCCCCTGTGAGGGGAAGGCAGGACTGAGTCAGCTGCCCACCTCGAGCAGCGACCTCAGGACTGGATCGGGAGCCTTCTCCAGTCTCCTGTTTCCAAAGATCCGCACCTGCAAGCGGCCAGTGGAAACGCTGAGGTTGGCATTTCCAACAGAGACTTCTGTCCCCTGTCCCTGTCCCCTGTCCCCTGCGGGTGTGACCGCCGCCCCAGTCCCATGGGGAGTGGCTGGCCTCCAGGCAGAGCGCCGTGATCTAATAACTGCTACTGATGGCGTTGCTTATGGGTGTTTCTTAGCTTTTGTTCTAGTGCCTTCTCTCCTCCCCCCGCCCCCCCTTCTGTTTCAAAATTGGCTCCTGTTACCTCAGCCTCTTTCTTAGGCTCCAGCAGACTCACCCTCACCTTCAGCTGGCCTGTGTCCTGGCCGTGCCAGGCATGTAGGCGGCTTAGGTGTGCAGCCATGAGCACCTGGAGGGCATCCCTGCCCTCGAGACCCTGACACTGTGGTGAGGGAAACACACCAAAACATACAGCAGCCGAAACCGGTGTGGCTCAGTAGATAGAGCGTCGGCCTGCGGACTGAAAAGTCCCAGGTTCGATTCCGGTCAAGGGCATGTACCTGGGTTGCGGGCACATCCCCGGTGGGAGATGTGCAGGAGGCGGCTGGTCGATGTTTCTCTCTCATTGATGTTTCTGACTCTCTATCTCTCTCCCTTCCTCTCTGTAAAAAATCAATAAAATATATTTAAAAACAAACAAAAAACAAACAAACAAAAAAACATCCCTGATAATAGAGAAAAGTACAAGTTAGAAAGATAACTATGTATGCTTGTCTCCACACAAAACATTTAAAAACAAACAAACATACAGCAGACAGTGCAGGGTGCCAAGCTGGCATCTCCGCTCCGCCCCGTGAGAGGTTGAGAGGCAGCGTTGTGAAAGGAGATGCCTGGGGGCAGGCCGGATGCCGTCCAAGGAGGTGACAGGGAGGTGACACCTGGGGGAAGAGGAGGGACAGCTGGAAAGCTCAAGTGGAAGGAACCAGTCCAGAGACCCTGCGGCCGTTGGCGTGTCTGAGGGACCAGGGAAGACCATGGAGGCGGGGCTTTGCGGGAGCCATCCTGTGGTCTGGCGCCTGCCTCTAAACCAGCGGTTCTCAACCTGTGGGTCGCGACTCTTTCACAGGGGTCGCCTAAGACCATCGGAAAACACATGTAATTACATATTGTTTTTGTGATGAATCACTGCTTTAATGATGTTCAATTTGTGACAATGACATTGGGGGTCACCACAACATGAGGAACTGTACTAAAGGGTCGCTCTCTCTTTAAACGTAGGAAATCCAAGAAGAAGAAGGCAGCTCCCAGCATTTTGTCAAGTGGACGGATTGGCCAGGTTGGAAAATTCAAAAATGGGACCTTGATCCTGAGCCACGTCGACATCAGGAAGATAAACTCGTCCCGCGTGGCTAAGTGAGCTGCTGCCGAGCCAGAGGGGCGGGAAGCCCTGTACTGAGGCTGGGCCGGCCGGACTCCAGACCGTTACTATTTCCTGCTTCGTGACCGTTCTTTGGGGGAAAGTCAGAGAGGACCAGGAAAGCTTCTGGGCTCATGTGTCTGCGGGGCCACGTCGGGCCAGGAAAGCTTCTGGGTCTGTGTCTGCGGGGCCACGTCGGGCCAACCACGCGCCGTGCGCGTGTGAAGTGAACCTGGCGGAAGACGTTTAATTTTCCCAGCGCGTCACTCGAGTGTCACTGTCACTGGTGTTTTGTGCATTTGCTCGTAAGAAGATTTCTCAGGAATGTACTGATTTGTAAGGGCTAATAATTAGCTTTCAATCGCCATTTAATTTTCTAAAAACGACTCGATGTCACTGTATCGTGAAAGCTAACAATGTGGTCATTTGTCAAGTTATTTTGTGGGAAAAGCAGCTTCCATGTTCAGGCTCAAGTGTATAAAGTCTACTTCACAGGAAGGGACGTAAATAAAATTCACCCTTTGGGGCGTGTGTGGCCGTGACTGAAATAGCAGGTGCATTGGACTCGTGTCCTAGAACCTACGTAAGCGCCCGCCAGTCCCTTAAGGCAACCCCCAAGCAGCTAGCACGTTTCTTAGCCTCTCGCCCTGGCTGAGAGCGTCTGGGGCTTCTCACAGCTTGCGGCACATTCAAGAAAAGTCCTCAGCCCGGCCAGCGTGGCTCAGTGGCCGAGTGTCAGCCTGTGAATCAGAAGGTCACGGTTCGATTCCCAGTCAGGGCGCAGGCCCCGGTTACAGTCTCGATCCCCAGTGGAGGGCGTGCAGGAGGCAGCCTATCCATGATTCTCTCTCACCATTGATGTTTCTCTCCCTCTCCCTTCCTCTCTGAAATCAATTATTTTTATATATCTGGGGAAGGGCAGACCCGCGCCCAGCCGTCATCACAGACCACACCTCGTCTTTCAGTTGCTGGCAGTGTCAAAAGAATTTATTTCAAATCTGCTTGAGACCGTGGTAAAACTCAGGTTTTCCAAAAGGCAGTACACAAAGTTCCACCAACCCCCGAAGACCAGAAAACACAGTGTCTGCAATCCAAAACATACAAAGGCTGTGGGCACCGATACAAAAATTAGAAAAAGCCCCCCCCCCCCCCTCCGGGCTTCTTGTGGAACTCAAACACCTAAGGGACCAAGGGCTGCCACCAAACACCACCAACCAGTGACAACGTGGATGCGAGGGATGGGGAGAAGGGGAGGGAGGGACCGGGTAAAGAGAGGCAGGAAAGTGGGCGTTCTGTCGGCAGCCAAAACAAGGACACGAAGCGCTTCGTTACTCTTTAAATTCCTCTGCCAACGGTCAACAAACATCTCTCATGCTTAATACAACAGTTGAGTGCGAAAGCAGCAATCCTGGGTCATGCATCAGACGTTTTCTGCTCTGCTCAGCCTGCCCTCTTCTGGGTACTGAGGTGGTCTGGGCCGGGGGTGGTCCCCGGGAGTGGGAGGACCCCAGGCGGAACCCCCAGGGCAGCAGCCACTGTGTTCCTGCTCGCAGGGCCCCAGCCGTCACTGTCCCAAACCTGAAGCACATGGTGGACTCTCAGAGCCTTCCCGAGGGCCTGGCCTGGTGAGTGTGCCCACCTCGCTGCCCAGGAGCCCCCAGGGCCCTCCCCAGGACCAGCGCCCTCAATGAGCAGTGCCCTTGGAGAGAGGACCAGTGCCGCCAGGTCTCCACTCCCACCTCCTCCTTCTGACTGGAGTCAATGTCGCTCATTGGAAAAGTCGGGGAGTGTTTTCATCTTGGAGGGTGCCTGCTGGTTTCCGGCCTGAAAGGGCCGCGTTTCATACCAGTCTCTGCAGGGGACGCTCGTCGCGGTCTCCACTACTCCAGTTGGCAATCCCTGGGCCTGGTCGCGAAGAATGACGCAGAGGGGACATTCGTGTAGAACCTGCAGGCGTCTTGTGCTGATTTCCGGTGTGACGCGTCTCCTCGTTCAGAACCCCGTGGCCGTTTAGGACAGAGACTGGGAGTCACAGGAAGTGGCCACGATCCAGCTAGAGTGACCGAGGTGTTTCATGAACAAGGATCCAGTGGATGCCTCGCCAAAGGAGAGACTGACAGACGCCACCTCGGGACGATCTTAAATTAAACCTGGACGCCTTTGGGCCTTTTTAAAGTCTCTTGAGCATTTTTATATAGAAATAAACTCAGGCTTCACAGAAAAACAAAAAAAAAGGGAAAAGCCGGGGACCCACTTAGTGACGGAAGTCCTAGAGCTGTACCCCTCTCTCTGAGACCTCGCTTTCAAATGTCCCCCCACAGAGATCTTTGGAGACAAAGGAGCCAGACTATGGGCGGGGACCCCTCAGATACCAGATCTTAAGGCAACCAAGAAGTCAGAAAGAGGGGTGCACCTCTCTCTGTATCTGAAGGGAACTTCCGCCCACAATGCCTTTGGGACGAATAGCAGGAGTGCTGGCGTGGGGCTGTGCCCAGGGTCTCGGGCAGAGCGCAGAGGCCTCGTGGTGATGGGGACATTCGGGGGGCTGCTTCCTAGCCTCAGAGGAAGGCTGCTATAAGTGTCAGCGTTGCCCCGAGAGGCCAGGCAGCTGTGCAATATATACGGTCCTCAGAGCCCTCGCCGGTGTGGCTCAGTGGATAGAGTGCCGGCCTGCAGACTGAAGGGTCCCAGGTTCGAGTCCAGTCAAGGGCATGTACCTCGGTTGCAGGCTCCTCCCTGGCCTGGGCCCTGGTCGAGGCAAGTGGAGGAGGCAACCCACCCCTGTGTTTCTCTCCCATCCATGTTTCTCTGTCTTTCCCTCTCAGTTCCACTCTCTAAAAATCAATGGAAAAATGTCCTCGGGTGAGGATTAACAACAAAACAAAAATACTGTCGTCAGAGGCTCAGATGGAAGATGCGATGGTCGGAGAACATTCTGGAGAGTCACCCCCTGGGCTCGATTTACTTAAGGCGACCATTAGCCTAGAGCAGTGGTTCTCAACCTTCCTAATGCCACGACCCTTTCATACAGTTCTTCATGTTGCGGTGACCCCCGATTTCATTGTTACAAATGGAACATCATGAAAGCACAGTGATTCATCACAAACACAATATGTAATTATGTATGCGTTTTCCGATGGTCTTAGGCGACCCCGGTGAAAGGGTCGTTCGACCCCCAGAGGGGTCGCAACCCACAGGTTGAGAACCGCTGGCCTGGAGTCAACAGATGACAGACCGTCCTGTTTTGATGGAAAACGCGTTCTTGTCTAGGCCTCAGAGGAGAGCAGAGGAGGTAGGTGAGGAGGACGGGCCCCTTCTTCAGGTGGGGATATTGAGGCACCGGAGGATTGAAGAGACCGGGCCCCACCCGGACCTGAACCGGGTCAGAGCCAGGTTCCGATGAGCCCCCGAGGCCTGAACATGGCGTCTGGCCCACACATCCTGCCCCCACGGGCTCCCGGCTAGTTTCCAGTCGATAGACATCAAGCTGTCAGGATCCCCTCTCTCCGAGGAGGACCTGCAGGGAGGAATGGAGACAGCCACAGGCGGGACTTCCGTGCCCAGGAGCCCCGAGGTGCCCCAGGATCAGCGAGGACTTAAATACCGTCGAATGGAACCTGACGGAACTTCGGAAGCTGCCAGGACAACGAAAGGGTTTTGTTTCCAGGAATGGGGGTGGGGGCGGGGGCATCTTCGGGGAATCGGAGCTGCGGCCTGACCGGTTGGTGTCCATCCATCCGTCTGTCTGTCCCAGTTGCCCCCAGCCAGCAGGACGGGGCAGACCCACAGAGAGCCTGGTCTCGGGTATGAAAACCCAGGCCCGCAGCCTGTGATGCAGGTTTTCCGGGTAACACTGGAGGGGGTGCCCCCATCCCGACAAACCACTAGCACAGCCCCGGGGTTCCCAGCCAGGTGTGCCCGGGAAGGTCTGTAAACGCGTCCAGTTGTCACAGCTCACTTGGGGGTTGCTCCTGGCACTAGAGGGAGGAGGCCAGGGTTGCTGTAAACATCTCCCTGCACAGGACGTCCCACACCCGGGCACTAACACCCGCCCCCCAAATGTCAGTGGTGCTGAGGCTGAGAAACCCAGCACCAGCCTGGCCCGTGGGCCAGAGCGGCTTCATCCACAAGCCACGGGCTCACCTGGGCCCGAACAGGCCTCCACAGGGGCCCACGTCCTACATTTGCTATCAGAATGAAGGCAGAAAAGCAAACATGTCTGGGAGCCCTAGCGCATCGCACTCCTAGCCCCTTGGGCTCAGCGGGTAGAGTGTCTGCCTGTGGACCGAAGCGTCCTGGGTTCAGTTACGGTCAAGGGCATGGTCAAGGGCAGGAACCTCAGTTGCAGGTCGGGTGCATTCTAGAGGCAACCAATCGATGTTTCTCTCTGTCTTTCCCTCTCTCTCCCACTCTCCCTAAAAATCAATGGAAACATATCCTTGGGTGAGGGCTAAAAAAATAATTAAAAATATGCGCCCGGTGCCGTAACCGGTTTGGCTCAACGGATAGAGCGTCAGCCTGTGGACTGAAAGGTCCCAGGTTTGATTCCGGTCAAGGGCATGTACCTTGGTTGCGAGCACATCCCCAGTGGGGCGTGTGCAGGAGGCAGCTGATCAATGTTTCTCTCTCATCGATGTTTCTAACTCTCTCTCCCTCTCCCTTCCTCTCTGTAAAAAATCAATAAAATATATTTAAAAAAAAAAATCAATGGAAACATATCCTTGGGTGAGGGCTAAAAAAATAATTAAAAATATACGCCCAGGAAAAGTGCACACCGGTCCTGCATTCTGCTGCCTTCCTGAGAGAGAGCCCTGGGCGGTGGGGGGCAGGGCACCAGGTGCCCGGATGGACAGGCCTGTGCCCGCTGCCCGCGGTGAGGGCCACAGGCTGCACACGGGGCTGGAGGGGCCGCCTGGAACCATCTCCCATGACTAGGTCATTCCCTCGCGGGTCAGATCGCTTTCATCGGGGGGGTTACCCTGGTTAGAAAGGGGACAGGCAGGGCTGTGGAGCAGCGGTTCTCAACCTGTGGGTCGCGACCCCTTTGGCGGTCGAACGACCCTTTCCCAGGGGTCGCCTAAGACCGTCCTGCAGATCAGATATTTACATGAGGATTCATCACAGTAGCAACATGACAGTGATGAAGTAGCAATGAGAATAATTTGATAGGTTGGGTCACAACATGAGGAACTGTATTTAAAGGGCCAGAAGGTTGAGAACCACTGGAAGGTCTTAGCTTGCTATGAATTAGCGGCTAGGAGGCTAGGAGTGAGATGCGATTGGGAACTTTTTAAAGAGATTCCTTCTACAAGGAAAGCCCAAGCTTGCTTGCCAGCAAAGGACAAACTGCGGGGAAACTACGTACAAAACCGAAACCGAGGCATCATCGGCAAGGCAGGGAGCCTGACCTTGGACGTGACCCTGAATTCCCTTCTCACAGAAACTGCTGGGGAGATGGACCAGGCTACTCCTCCGCCAGCCCAACAGAGCATCCTCTTTGATATAATTTTCCGTACGAGAGTGTCACCGCGGTGTAAAGGTCAGGGGA